GGCCTGCAGGAACGACTTTGGTGCTGTGCCGCACATTCACACTCCGATTTTCTCATCAATTTCTTGTTGTTTTAAACTTGTCTTCCCTCATCCCTTTGCTTCCTACATTCCGCTCTTTGACCACTTTTTATTTTCGACCAAACTAGTCAATCAGCACCCAACATGGCCAACAACAACCACAACCCCTCCAAAATACCCCCGCTTTTGCTCATCCTTCCCTTGTTGACCCTGGGCATCTGCGGCACAATGGTCAATGGCTTCCAAACGGGATATTTCTCCATTCTGACCGCTACCTCTGGCAACTTGGACGGTGTACCTTACGTGCCTGGTGGACCGGAATCCTTTGACCCGCGTTATACTGGCAACAAAGCGCTAGATACACGCATGGGCATCCTTATCGGCTTCTTCAGCGGATTGGTCAACGGAGAAAGAAACTGGGATGTTGACCTCGCTTATGTCTGGACAATGGGGATGTTTTTCTCTGGATGGGCGCTGGTGAGTGTTGAGGCGCATCGGAGGGCGAATAGAGGGAGGGTTGTAAGCTGGTGAGTCAACCATTTTCCAAGTTTCTTCATGACACAGAAAATGATACTGACGGGGCAAATGAATAGGACAAACACCTTTGGGAATATCATCCAGAGTTTCACCTATGCTTTGACTGTTCCGTCATATCTGATTTTGCATTTATTTACCACGTCCCCAGCGACGGATGATATTTCTGTTCCAGAAGGGGAAGTTCGACACTTGCCGTTGAGTATGACATTGGCATATATTGTCCCAGCCGTGATCATGTCATTGCCTACGCCATCGATCATCCCAGGAAAATCACACTACGACACCACGGCTCTGTGGCAGGTTTTCCCCGTTTTGCAATTTCTTATTCACCGCGGCATGAACTTTGTTTGCTTCCCTCGCAAGTACAACACGACAACGACACAGTATGGGGTAGGGAAGTCACTCGCCAACCACTACCGCTTCGTCATCTTCACTTCAGTTGTGGTCCATCTCCCTATCCTTTTGGTGTGTCTGACACCATCTTCAATGCCGTTCGGACCGGCTTGGCTGAGGGACATGATCACCCAGACGACCTTCAGCAATGTGTTTGTCCCATATGGTGTTTGGAACCCGCCTGCGGTGGATCTGGCCAAGGTGGCTGCGCTGGGAGGGGAGAATAAGGCTGATTTGAGCTGGTTGCCGGGGTTGACGAAGCATTTTTTGCATTATGATATTGGGTGTCCTAGTTTGGCGATGGTGGTTTGGGCTGGGTATAACTGCATGGCTTCTGTGGGTAAGGGTGGTTGTGTTGGGATCGGGAAAATGGTGGGATGGTTGCTGGCTGGGGGACCGGTGGCGTTGGCGACGGTTTTGATGTGGGAGAGGGATGAGAGGGTGTTGAGGGGAAGGGAGGGAAAGAAGGCTCAATAGGTAGGCAGGGGGTAGCGCAGATGGTGAGTTGAACCTTTGGGGTCATAGCGCTGGCTTTTGCTGTGGCGGGGATATCTTGGTACCTGTTTAGTACGTACCACCTTATATCAACAAAAGTCCGACAAACTCCCCATCTTGCTTTCGTTTCTGTTGTGTTGTAAAGATTAAGAGTTTCGTTTCAACCTCTTCCATTCCTGCAAGTAAATGATACGTCTGAGGCTTCAATGGGCCATTTTCTACCAACAACACAGGGGCACAATGCGGGGTGACAGACTTGCATTTGCACCGGACAACGAACCGGCCAAGATATCAGCACAGCTCGAACAGCACGCTGAACTTCATGATAGCCCGTTGATTACATCCATCGAAAACTCTAACCATTCCATGTTCAGTAGTCATGCGTATAACCTCGTTTCGCACGCGGCGATGGCTTTTACTTAGCGACCTCCACTTCAAGCATCAAGACCTGGATAGAGTACGGCAAATGGGGCGATGGATCGTTGCGGAGGCAGAGCGAAATCATGTCTCGCGGGTGGTGATATGCGGTGACCTCTTGATCAGCCGGACGATGCAGCCCACACATGTGTTTTCTGCCTGTTACCGTTTCATCAGCCATCTCAGCGACGTCGTGCCACGAGTACAAGTCTCTTGACTGCATGGGGTTTGGGGGGTTGATCTCGTGCATTGGGTATGTCTCTGGGCGGGAGGATGAAGCTGGCGAGGCAAGGCCGAATTTGAATCTTTGGCCCTGCGGCGGACGGTGACGTTGAAGGAGATTATCAACGGTCCGAGGGATAGGTTCGAGGAGATGTGTCGGTTCTACGAGAAGCATCACATCAGGCCGGTGGTGGATCGTTCGTTTGGGTTTGAGGAGGCGGTTGAGGCGATGAAGTATCTGGCGAGTGGGTCGCACTTTGGGAAGGTGGTTGTGAAGGTTGAGTAGGTAAATACCAAGTTAGGACGCTTTAACAGATGGCTTCCTATGTAGTCTCTACTCCCTCGAATCCACGTAAATCCCTACTCTCCCACTCTTCCCACAATCCTCGGCTCCCCTCCTTTGGAGACCACAGCTTCCTGAAGCATCTCAACAAAGCGTTTTCAACCCCCTCACCCACTCCGGCAGTAACTCCATGCCAATAATCCGAATCTAGATGCAGCTTCCGATCGTCCAGTATCCTTATCTCTTTGATCCCCAACTTCTCCTTCTTCCAATCAGAAAACTACTTCTCGACCACCCAGTGGCGCTGCAGACCCGCAATGTAATGTTCCATCCCAAACTGCATGGAACCCCACCCCAGAGCCCTTCCTGTTCCGAGCCCAGTAGACACAATTCCATCCGCGTGTCTAGAAGTAGTGATCACCCCCCCACTCCGCACAACCATGGTTTCCAGTGACGCAGATGACACTGCCAAAAAGATCTGCTTAGCGAGTTTGCTATCAAGCGCGCAGTTCACCATGAAATCCATGATATCTCCGTTCGTCAGTCCCCTATAGGCCATTCCAAGCGCATCGTGAGGGGCTCGTTCCTCAAAAGGGCGAATGGCTTCCCCTTCCGAGCACCCACGTGCACTACAACACTGGAATTCTGGGACTTTTGCAAGTGGGATTAACTGCGGCGGAACAATCATGTGCACCGGCCTCGATGACGCATCCAGGTGGAGCGAAAGATGCCGAAGCTTGGGGAAGCTGTGCCCAATGGTTTGATACAACGCAACTTCGGCTCTGTTGCCCCTTGACCCGTGCACAGGAAGGGCCAGGCGCTTGACGTTGGGGTACAGGGCACCCAGGCCTTCGATTTCACGGGCGGAACTCAGTGAGCTCCAGACGTGACACAAATCAGGACGTCGCTCGTTTTGAAAGCACAAGGTCTCCATTTTTGGAAACACCATTCATTCCATGGTGGTCCTCTCCTACAGACGACGCGAATGACCAATCCCATCTGCCAACATGTAAATGCTTGAGCTGTGGATGAGCGCTGATGAAGTGTTTGACCTGAGCACTCCCTCTTGGGAATGCAGTTCCTATGCATAAAGACAAGTCCACCAAGAGCGTGGTCAGGGAAGGGAAACGTACGGTTTCGGAGAATACCACCCCCTGTTCACCCTGAGGCCAGGTAAGTTTGAGAGTCTCCAAAGCTCTGAGATCCAGTAGTTGACAGATTTGAGCTGGGATGGAGTCGGTGAGATCCAGAAACGTGAGCCATTTTATAGCCAGAGGATGCGGACGTCGAAAAGCATTGCCGAGTGTCCTTGCCAGCTTAACTCCACTTCTGGGTGATGCCATTACCGCCGAATAGATGTGTGGATACAAGATGATCTCGCCTAGATTCGGGGCAAGTCCTTCGGTCTGCAAAATTTGTTTCATTATCTCCGGGTACATGCCATTAACCCTGCTATACCCCCCATTTGGCCCGGGGCCGATCTTGGATTTGTCGTTAGCCAAACACAGGCTATAGAGACAGGGAGATCGGATGATATTCAATTCGTGAGGATCGGCAACGGGTACTGTGGGAGTTGGGACATCTTCGTAAGAATAGGTAGTGCGCAGGCCACGTGAACGATGCTCGGCTGCCGCGGCAGCTTCCAGCATCCGCAGCCGAAAAGTGCAATGGTGAAGCCGTGTCACACGGCGTGATATCGTGCTCTTGCTTTCGATGGCGCGCAACAGGCATGGTGGAAACTACTCCATCGCTTTGTATATGAGGTCAGTGAGTCCTGGTAACAAGCTGATGAAGTTGGCCAATGGCTGCCAATTCTTGTCCCACCGGTCAGCACTCTGCCAGGCATGAGGCGGTATGCCATGCCGGGCGGGCGGCGTCGGTGGGTTGTTCAACGTCAGCCAGTAATAAGGAAACCTATAGAATCTGTCTTGCTTGACTTCATCAAAGGGGCCTCGCCCAAAATATACCCTTTGTGATCCATTGGCGGTGAGGTTCTCGCTCTCGACGGTTGAGCCAAGGACAACGAGAATTCGGACGTGACGGAAGCCGTCATTCTGGCGGAGGAACCGGGAGCAACCTTCGACCAATTCCTCAAGACCATCAGTTGTGGCATTGAAGGTCAAACGGTTCAGCAGGCACGTATTGGCAACCGCCCGAAAATGCCGGTTCGCCAAGGAGAGCGATACCAGACTATCACGATGATCCTCCAACAGTTCCCAAATACGTGTCTGCAACTCCAGGGGGAGCTTTTTCAGGGCCATGCTGAAGGGTAAAGAGTTCGTGACTGTCGAGTCGGAGAGATGTTTTTCGGGATGTAGCCGTACCGGTGCAGGAAACATCAAATGGCGAGCAGTGAAATAGTGCCTGACAGCGAAAAGAAGTGTTGGGATCAGGGAGTTCAACGAGAAAACTTAGCTTTGTGCGTGAACCTTAACCTAAAACAGCAGTAACCCACCTTGGCCAAACTTTACCAGATAGCTCCAGGGACCGCCTTCGATCGTTCATAACTTTCCAATCCTTTTGCACACCTTTAAAGTTGCTGAACGATGTGGTTATGAGACTTGATTGTTGAGCTCTCTACCTAGACATACAATGAGGAGGGAGATAGTTACTTTCCAGCAAAAGTTACCGCTAATCAGAGTTCATCCCACATGCGACGCCACGAGCTCCTGGAAAAGACCCGACGCCATCCTTTCCTGGTTGTGGTCTTCGTTGCAGAGTGCCACTCCCTCACCACCGCCGTGCTCTTTTTGTATCGTTTGTGCTTCTTGTATATATATGACCAAAAGGCAACCACTCCCGAGATTCCCGTCAGGATGCCCAACGTGGCAACGAGATCCGTCATGGTTATTACACTTGCACCTGTTGTCGCAGCCACTGCCGTCCCATTGGCCGCGCCCATTGCGCCTATTGTGATACCAGGCCCTCCCCCCATCAGTGTTGCCGGTACGAGACCATCCGGATTGTATTCCTGCCACCGTCTTGGGATTGTGTCTTCACGCAGATCGTCGACAATGCACCGCATAAGCAAATGGGCGAATTCTTGGCAGTTCGATTCGAAGTTTTCATAGGTTCCGTCGAAGATTCGTTCCCATATGTCGTCCGCTATGAAGGTGAGGGAAATTGGTCAGCAGCCTGAGCATGCACAAGTCATGGCAAAAGGCTATAGGTAGGTAGGTGGATCTGTACTTACCGCATTCCTTGATGTCGTCATCCTTCCATTTGGCATTGCATTTCCCGTAATTCGCATATTGGTAGGCAAGCTTTTGTTGTTGGGCATACTGAATCCATTCTGCCTTGGTAAGGACGCGTATGTCGTGAGATTTCCCTGTTGGATGGTGGTCGTGGATGCGGGCAACCTCGTAGCATGTTTCGCCAACGCAGACTGCCCAGTGGTTGATAGAGGCATAGGCCCATTTGTTGAGCACGGGGACTTTGGCAAGGCTAGTAATGGGCCGCCTGTAAAGATAGACATCTCGCTGTTCCTCTGTCATGGTGATGTAGGGCGGATATCGCTAGTTCAATGGTTTGCAACTGTGTCGATGGGTAGTGGTGGTGATGGTATGGTGGATTGACTGTCAGGAAACCCCCGAGATTGTGGATTGTTTTTATGCTCTTCGCAGAGACAAGGCTGCGCTGCTTTGGGACTTTTTCAGGATGCGAGACGACATCATGCCCATATCTTGAAACCGAACAGGCCAGTCCTAGTAAGTGCCCAGACGTGTGGCCCGATCTGATGACTGGATATGATTCATAGGTAGTACAGCTACGCCTCCACCAGATAATGTTGATCGCGGATGTAATTCCTTCCTAGGACTTGGCAGAATTCAGGATCGCCAATCACAACGTGCAGGTGAGGGCGAGGCTCAAGTGGTGGCGATGCCGTTTGGCTCCTTATACGTCGAGACAGCCTTGCTGTTACAGTGTACGCGCGTACTTTACGGCGTGTAGATCTCCGCCACCGGCCCCCAAGCGGCTCAAGGTCATTCTATCTCGGAGTCAAGATACATGTAGCTAAATCCGAAACGTATCGGGGAGTGGTAACATACAAGCCCGAAATCGATAATAGTATACTAGAGCCTTGCCAGTTATCAAAAAGGCACCAGCACAGCGCAATTTTTCATCATTGGCCTTTTGAAGCTACTTTTTACACTAGACTCGAGTTGTATCAACATGGATAGATCACCTAACACCCGGGACTCAGGTCCACCAGATAACTGTAACCCAGTCCCCAGAAGCATCTTCTTCCGGATCTTTGCCTTCAGCTATTCCGGAGCTTTGCGCTATCACACCGTCCAGCCAATGCATTGCATCCAGCGCAACCAAAACCTTCGCGAGGACAAGGATGGAGTCATCGCAACACTGGTTCGTTTCCGTAAGACTAAATCAGAGGAGTTGAGATTTGTTCAAGGAGCAGTCAGTATACACACCCCACCCCTGAACCCTCAAAAATGATCCAGTCTAATATGGCACCTAGGCAGCGCTGTCCGGAGCAGCAGTAATAGGCGTCTTCTCCTGGCCCTCGACAGAAAGAACAATCTGGGTGGCCAAGATGCTCTGGAACTGGAGTTTATTTCTCTCCTTCTTTGCACTGATCAGCTCGGCGCACCAACGGCTTCTTCGTCGTCTTCCCGAGAACTCGAGTGACGAGCTCAGCGATGCCGACCTGGCGATATGCCTCTGTTTATTCCTGCAACCTCCTGCCCCGCCAGGGCCAGGGGATAGGATGTTCCATCGGGGGATCAGTCGCAAGATGGTCTGGTTTTGGCAGTGCCCGACTATGCTCATGAGCTATTCTTGGGTTTTATTCTTGGTTGGGTACGCGATACATTTGTTGACGCCGGTTTTTGATGCTTCCCTGGCGGAGTTTACAACAATCGTGAGTTGAGATTTTGATTCCAGGGGGTAATGTATGACGAAGTCCTGACTGAAGATAGCCTGCGATCGTCACTGTGTGTGGGTGCGCGATTGTTGTCGGCAATTTCTTTTTCTGTGCAGAATTGTGCCAGAGCCGTATCTCAAAAGCCAGCGATGGGACCGGTGAGATTGCCCCGAGGAGGTTGCCGGTATGAATAGAAGCGGCATGAGGTTCAGGTACCTGGTTGAGGGACCGAAGAAGCAGGTATGCTGAGGTCTGGCCCCTGGAACTTTGGCATGCTTCTTCGATTTGAGTTGACATCCTCAACCGGTATCCAGAGCGCACCTCCATTGATGGCTGCCATCTCACAATCGTAGTGGTTGAGTCCCTGAGAATCTCCCTTTCTATACATCCGGTGCTCGATGAATAAACGCCAATTTCGCCCAGTATGTGTGCCATCATATCTGCGTAGGAGGAAAAGTCGAATTGTTAGCTCTCTCGAAGGCCCAAGGGGAGGATCTGGGTAGATATAGTTTGGACTTACTGAAACATGATGGATCCCCGGGCAGTTTCTCCAGCCATGGCTGCGTCTGGACCGTGGCCTTGGAACTCATGTCTCACCTCCCCTGTGGGAAACAGTGTGGGTTAGTAATTGTACGTAATTTCATACACCAAGAAGATGTAGCCGCAAATCGTTGCCTGGGCGCCTGGAATCCTTGTCAGGATTGCGTTCGTAACTTCTTCAATTCTGTACTTGAACTGCAAGTCGTTTCGAGTTGGCTTCGTATCGGGATTCCAGCGCAGGTTTATTGGGGTGTAAATGAAGACCCGGGTTTGGTCGTCAGGCCTGTTGAAGAGGTTGGGGTCGAGAACCTCGACGTCGGGGCCGACTGGACCACCGCCAGTGATGGGCCAGAGAATTTTGTGTCTAACGCAGAGAGTTAGCGGCGTTCGATGCCCACACCTGGAGTGTCGTTGAGCGGCCGGCGATATGAGAAACAGGGGAACAAAGAGGTGGTAAATGGAACGAAGAAAAATACTTGCCGAAACTCTTCAATGAAGAAGGGCATGTTTTGGAATAAAATCTCCCAGTCCTCTTCCCCCAAGTCCGCCTCCCAAAAATGAGCCATCCAAACAGCTCTGTTGCTGATGATGGTAATAACGGTGCAGCCGTGAACGTGATTGGTGCCTATTTGGAACGATCCGATTCCTTTTCCCATCCTCGACTGCTTTGCCACCGTTCTCTCGTCCAGATGTGTGTCGTTTATCAGTCGGTGCACACGACTGGCTGGGAACCGTTGATCGGCGTAGCTGTGGTCGTAATTAACGTTGTGTGAAAGGTATCTACCCAACTGTTGCTGGGACCACGAGGGCCAATTCTGGTAATTCCAGAAGAGGCGGCTTTCGTGAGAAAAGCTCTGAGTGCTGTAATAGCGAGGAACTTGAAGGCTGAACGACATGTCGTTACCAACAGTCAAGTCGGTGTCCAGCTGCATATTGTACATGTCGTTACGGGGCAAACGTATTTGAAGGGATAAAAATTTCCACGACATGCGGCTTTCGAGTACAGTGGACGACAGTTAGGGCGGATAGTCAAGAAGACGCCGGTCAAGTCGCATTCATTCTGGCGGCCTTAAAGTAGATACACGGTGAGATTCGACACATTCTGCTGCCTGGTCAAGGTGAGTTTGTTTCACCAAAGTCAAAGTGCCTTCAATTCACATCTTAAGTTGCTCCACCCTGAACTTTGGCGTTTGGGCAGTGGAGAGAGCCTGATAAGACGATGCTGCTGACAGCAGCCCCTCGAAGGTGGAGCAGAACCAGCGCAGTAGTCGGACTCATAACAGAACTGAGAAACGTGATGATATTGATCAGAACCAGGAAAACTCCAACAGAGCAAAAGAGAACCTATCTATCCCACAAACTGTGCCCTCGGAGCAACCTGACTGCCCACTGCGGAGCAACACTTCCCACAAGCACTCAGCTTCCAGCTGGCACCGGAAAAGAGAGTTGGATGCTCCATTGACGTCAACCTTGTCTTGGTGGCAAATCAACAGATATATCGCGCCAGCGTCGACTCTGGTTGAGTGTACTAAGGTAGGTACTGTGGCAAGATCATATTCTTCTCGATTCCCATAATATATAGAGCTGCCCTCATTAATAGATATATGTCGCACACCATCGCCTATCGTTTATAGCTGCAGCCGTGGTCACTGTCAACATCTCTTTAAGTGCTGCGTTGTGTCAAAGGCGTCTGTCGCAGGCCCGGCATGGGAGTACCCTGGATGGATCGCCGCTACAGCAAGGTTAAGAGCAGTGGACAGATAAGTTATACTTTACAGGTCTATGAAGTTACCAATACAACAAATCAACCAAACTTTCCTGGCGTGACTCATCTACACTGGCATGAAGAAAGCGCTTTTCCAAACAAACGTGTCCTCCTCATTTAGCATTGAGCCCATCCCGATCAAGATTTATTCGGATCATCAATCACAATCCCGCCATTCTCTCCTACCACGTAGTGGCTCTGATTGCCAGCCACACTTGCTAACGGCTCGGCTGCCAGTCGGAAACCTGGCGATCCACCTCTTGCACCCGCAAAGGTATACAACAGACACCCTGCTTGACATGTACCGCCCGCACCACCGTTGTTACCTGAGCACAAGAACCACAATTGTTAGTGTATTGAGACTCAGCAATGCAAAGATGATTATTCACTCACACTTGGTATAATTCTCTCTCACCAACAAATAAGCAGTGATCAAACTCTGCGACATCCCCAGCGGGAAACCAAAGCTCTGCCTCTTCACAGTAGTAACACACCCGGCCACCCACTCAACACGAAAGTCATAGTTCACCCCTTTGCTATCCCGTTTTGCGAAGCGTAATCGGGGCATCCCCGGGCCCGATGGTGTCATCGTCACCCATCCCGTTCCGTAGACTACTAAAGTCAACCGAGAACCGATCCTGATCACCGGGCTGAAGATCTGCGTGGCCTGGAAAGTCACTTTCCTTGAAGCAGTTGATTGGACCTCTCGTCAGGGGCTTGGTATTTGGGTTGGAGGTAGGGGTAGGAGCCGTCGGTTTGGTCGAGGTCTTCCCCGTAACCCACGTGTACACATTCCATCCAGGCCCACCGGGAGTCGGCAGCGCCCCTGTGTAATCAGACCACGGCGGCGTATAAGCTGCCCTTCGGGGGCAGTTGGAAGATGTGTATGTTGTCATTCTTGCGGGCTTCATGCAGCCAGAGGTAGTAGAGGATTCGGTGGATGTGCAGGCGGTCTCCATGGTGAGCTTGGTGGAGGTCGAATAGAGTCTGCAGTGGACTGTTGTATGGACAACGGCGCTTCGGGAGGTGCAAGACGGGTTGTCGTCACCGCCTCCGCCTTCGCCGCCGCCGTTGCCTCCCGGCGGAGGCGGCGGCCCGGGCGGAGGTACGCTATTGGGGGCACATTTCCAACCGATGCATCCAAGTTCGCCGCCACCGATGCTACCACCACCGTCATGATTGTCACGACCGCAATTCTTGCAACAATCCATGCAGGAACATTCGCCAACGCCACAGTCATTGCAGTTGCGTGTACACTCATCGCCGCAGCCGCTTTGGCATGTTGGCATCACCGAGCTGGTGCTTGTGAAGCTAACTTTGGTCTTGTGGGTGGTAGTTATGGGCGGCCAGGGAATTGTTGATGGCGTCGGGGTCGATGTAATTGAGTAGGTAATCAAGGACGAGCTCCAGGTTGGCACTGTTATCCCTGGCGGTGGACCAACTGTGATGGGCTCAATGCAGAATATCGAGGGCGTGACAGTGAACACGACTTTGTCCACGGCGGCCTGAGTGATGTTGATGTTGAAAACAGGAATTCTTGTCGTAGTGATGGCTGGGAAGGTGATGGTGGTGACCATCGTGACGGGCGCCGAATTGGAGGCCCACCTGCCCACGAAAGTGGTGGTGAGCGGCTGGCAAGTGATGGTGGTGGGCGTGCGGAGCGTGTATGGTGGCAGTATTAGGTTGCAAGGAGGCGAGCAACCAACCAAGGGGGTGGGATCTGGGTTGGTCTAGATGTCGGGTGCAATCGGTGCTGCCGGTCCCCCTCCTGACGCTGGCCTTTGGTTGCATGACCCTTCGGGACAGTAGCCCCTGGGACAGGCAAAGTCACAGAGACTCCAGTCGTTGACGTTGGGGTGTAGGGAACTGCCTACTGTGTCCCTGATCTTGGGGGAAGGCACGTTCAGGGCGCCAGTCTGGGTACAGGTACAGATATTGGTAGGACAGAAGCCAAAGTTGCACGCGTAGGAACAGAGACCCTCCCAGCCTGCTGATCCTCGACCCCCCGTGCAAGTAAATGGTAGAAAAGGAGACACAGTCGGGATGGCCAGTGGCGCTTCTGAAGTACCACAAATGTTTGATGGGCAACCCTTGTCTCCAATCTTGCCTAGATTGCAATTGAATGAACAGAGACCTGCGTAGTCGGCACTCCTACCGGCGACCGGGAATGCGACGACGCCCGTATAGGGGTTTTTTTTCTTTCAGTACCCATGGCGAGGCACACACATGCCCCGATGGGACAGTAGCCGTAAGAACAGGAGAATGCGCACAGCTCCGCAAAGTCATTGGCACCTGTTCCGCGGATACAGACCTTATCCTTCTGCAGCCAGGGGATGGCGATGGTGGTCTCGGACGACATGGCGTTGCCAACCCAAGCGTTCCAATTGACGAGGCTGGCTGCAAGAGGACGAGATAGGCGTGCCCGAACCGCTGGCAAGTGTCTTACCTTCCCGGAAAGCGTGATTTGAACGGGACCAGTGCGGCCGTTGAAACTGGCGTTTCCGTGGTAAAGATCAGATTCGCCGTCTGGTATGTCGCTTTAAGTTTCAACACTCGACACACCTCCGATGCTGACGGTGACAGTTGCGCCTTTGGAGGCCAGCTGTGCCGTGTAGAAAACAGCGTCCGCGGCCACCTCAGCGGCAGGGAATTCAAGCTCCAGTTGCGACGCGGTGTTTCCAGTGGTTCCTCCACTCCCTATCGCGGGTGTTAGCAAAAGGTCGTCATGAATGTGTATACAGAATCGGACGTAGATGAATCAGAACATACCACATGCCGCCCGAGGATGAGGCCGGTACCAAAATGTAACCCCCTCCTTGTCGAATAACGTGATGTTGTACCTATACATGTCGCTGACATGTGGCAGAAATGCCCGCCATCCATCGTGGGGCATGTTGCTCACATAGTCAAAAGGAACGCTTCTCATGGCGGCCAGCGCGTTCTTGCGAATTGGTGCAATATAATGCGATTCACCTGTCGAAAGTCGTGTTAGCCCCTTTCTACCGTCTTCAACCAGGGTTACTGGCCAGGTTCTGCCTGACAATGAGAGCGACTTACCGTAGTCATTCCAACTGATGATTTGTACCCATTCTGGCTGGACATACATAACCTCTTGCCATCGGTCAAACCAGAGATTGTCTCCGCGCCACATCCAGTTCTTCTTCCACTGGGGGAGATTGGTATAAAACCAAGGCGAAACGGGCATCATATAGGGCTTGCCGTTGAGGTACTGCAAATAGGAGGCATCCACATACGTGTCCATGTTTTGGGGACCCCAAGGCCAAGCAGCCCAGCTGAAAAGGCCGTCAGCTACGCCTCCGGCGAGCGACATGGCTGCTTTGGCGCCCACAGAGGACCAGTCGGGGACAAAGAAGCACCCGGTCACCTCCTTGATATCAATCCAGTCTTTAGCCCGTTCAGGACCTTCGAATGTTGAGGCAAATGGCTGACCGTTGTAGCGGTAGTGGGCTGACCATTCTTTGTAGGCCTGAAGGGTACTCATGACCGCCACTCGAGGCCAAGGAACCCTTCCGGCGTAGTCAAATGAAAAGAAGAGTTTGAAGTCCTTGTTCTCTGCTGCATCAAATGCCCTCGCAATGGACACGGAGTCTGTGCCTTCGTTGTACGCCATGTTCAAGGCAAAGGCGTCGATGTGGGCATCTTTAGCCAGCTGGATGTCGTATTCCCAGTCCTGTACGGTGTAGTTGTCGGCATTGGAGACCTTGATGGTGATGCGTCAGTTCCAGATCATGAACGGCATTGGGCCAAGCGATACTCACCATGAAATGAGCAAAAACTGCTTTGGCAAGCACCGTCAGTGCCAATGGCAACATGAGAGACGGTATGCGCATGGTGTCGGTGCCTCTCAATGTCAGGTGGGCGATGATGAGGAGATTGAGGCTGTCGGTTACTTGTCATCGTCAGGCTTCTTAAGAGAATGTCTTGACAGACACATGTGTTGATGTCGGAGGTCATGGAGCGATGCCGGTGGAGTCGACGGTGGTGCCTGGGCGGTGCAAAGGATCCAGCGTTCCATCATTGTTGGTGATGGACAGTTTTCTCGCCATCGACCCATCATGCGATTGTTACCTTGCCACGTTCCATCGAGAAATACGAAGCCGAGGCGTCCGCGTTTTGACGCTTGAAAGTGGCCTCGTTCAAGCCAGGGACATACTTCCGGTACCGTGCATTTTGTCAATTCGTACTCTTGTGGGGCTAGGTCTCGACGCAGGTATACCCATAACCCTGTCCTTGGTGTTGACAATGTGCACCGTGCAAAAGGTATGGTCTTGCTATACCTGCCATTTGAGGAACCAACATCACCGAGAGTTCGCCGTGACTACTATTTCACAATTGCATTGAGTCCACTGTCACCGGCGAGCCGTGGTGGTCCAGACTTCGTCTTTGCTCCGCCATTGCATGGTGATAGTAGGCTGTCTGTCACGATGTCCGGTTCACTTGCATGTTGGTGGCGGTGAAGTTCGATAGGATGGAGTCATTTCGGCGATGGAACTTTCGTCACGGTCACTCTGGCTCATGAAGCGTGGGCACTCACGGCTTAAGATAGAGACTTGGACATGGTTCCGGCGAGAAACCGGGAAGGCTGGGTCCAATCTGTGCATTCGCTGTTGGGATGTTCGGGTTCCAACCGGAGGAGATTCGAACCCTCTCAAGATATTCATCCTACTTCAAGGTAGCTATACCTTCTTGTTTTGACACCGGCATCACACCCCCTCCCTCTCAACCGCAACATCTGCCAGTCTCTGTCTCTCTGAGCGTCACGATGGCCACCCTGCCTACCCCTCTCCGGCGCTGGAAGACGAATGCTATAGCGTTGCTGCTCCAGCTCAGTTCAATCTCTTGGGCTCTCGTTCATCCGCGTCTTAGAGACATCAATCAGCCAGCATTGTGAGCACTCGTCAATCAGTCCCACGCCCTGTCATCTTGAAGAGTTGCTAAAACCAATTGGCACAGACAGGAAGACAATGGACATGTCACCAACCACAGCAAGACACTTACCTTGGCCCGTCAGGATGCCAGCGTCATGGAAGAAGGGACCCCGATGGGCCTTGATTGCTTATATCTCTGCACGTGGGCAACTTGCGGTGCAGGTTCATGTGGTCTCGACCGCCGCGACCTACGCTCCCCACCGATCGACGCCCATACTGAAGAGAATACGACAACCAGTCTTCGCAAGCGGGTTTTCCACCAGGACCATTTGCTTTGGACAGTGCAGGACCTTGACAGATACATGACTTCAAATCTGGGCTACAGCCGAATCGGCGGTGACCAGCAGTTTGTCGATCCCAACGATTACCACATGCTTATTGCCGAGCAGGGTCCGGAGCAAACGGTTGCTAAGCAGAGATTGATGTCCGATGTCGAGGGCAAGGCCTTCCAAATAGGAACTAATCTGGTACATGGCTGTACTGTCGCGGGCATTGTAAGTAACAAGGCTGTGTGGATGGCTCCTTTTAGGCAGACGACAGCGATAGGGATCAAGGATCATGGATTGTTTGAGTAGGTATCCTAGTCCGTGTTTTTGAAGACGGGGAGTTGCTGGGGACCCACTACTAACGAGTGATACCAGAGCAAATGTGCTTTACTGGATTAACGGGCGGAAACACTCTGGTTACGGACCCCCGGTGATACATGAGCTGTACAACCAGCCAACTGACAACACTCGCGCTTTTATCTACACGCCATTTAAATACGACTGGAGTGGCAATGACTGGGGGGAAGGCCAGTGGATGTACAAAGACAGGATCATTGAGCTGAGGGACACCATTGTGCAAACACTCGGTGCTTACGTCAGGGTTGAGGTGGTGGCCTACGTTCCGCTCAATTACGGAGCAGTGTATACCCTTGACGCCAACTACGTTCCACATTACGAGTTCAGCGGCCCAGACAAAGACCGAGCGATAGCCAGTGCTCGAGGCTCAATCTTGTTTCAGTAGGGCTTTCCTTCTATTTGTACCATCAAATTCAAAATGAATGGCCAGACTAAGAGTAAACTTCAATTTTGCAGACATGACGGGACAAGTGTCGGGCGCTACTGGCGTCTCTTTATTGAGTACTACGTTTTCAGGATGGGCGACCCTTGACTATTCTGACACCACCTTCTGCAGGGTTCGGCGGATGGAACTTTGGACGGGGGCACACCTTGAGCATTCCGTTGGATGCCACCTGACCAGCGGAATGCAGCTGGGACACCTTCCCTATCTGATTGACTAGCTACCTACAAATATCAAGTATCGGTGCTCCCCAGCTTTATCTCAACGTGTCGTCTACCTACCTACTCAAGCGACGTCAAACCTCGCAAAGATGGCCCTGAATCTGACGGAGCTCCCACTCGAACTCCTGCTGGATATCTGTCAGCTTCTCGGGGATACCCACGAGGCCAGCCTGCAATGTTTTGCCTTGGCTAACAAGGCCTGCTACTCAATCGCCAGTCTTGTCTTGGTCCGCACACTTACCTTCAACATCACCACTCTGTCTAATCTTCGAGTCGATATCCAAAAATGCACCTCGCTTCTTCAGCGACACCACACCTTTCAACACGTTCGTCGTCTTGTGTTAGTGGGCTCCCATGAAACCTTCAAATTACATGTCGACAACGACGATAGCCAGGGGGACGTAGAGCTCTCCAGGCTCGGTAGTTGGCGCTTTGGCCCTGCACTTTCTGTCGACTGGGGTATTCACCACCGCAGGCTCCATGGAATACCTGACCACACTGACTTTGCTTGTGGTGCCTTTGCGCACAAGAGAACGGCCTGTGCCGTGTACAACGAGGACGCCAAATGGGCGCCACTGGCTGACTTGATCCTGGTACTGCCAGCACTGATCGACGTCATCTATAAGTGCCCGGTTCAGTTTCCACCCTGCTTACTCCAAACCCTCCATAGCAAGAGACATAGCCATATCTTCCGGTTACATTTACACACCTTCAGGCTGCAAATGCTGCATCAACACGACTTGTCCACGGCTGACGGGATCACTCGCGACTATCACGAGCTGGCGCTTATCACATCACCTTGCCTTCATGCGATCTGGCTGGAAGACTACGACGGCAGGCTTTCGCCGGAGCAGGAGAGCAACACCGCCTTGATAGGACGTCAGCTAGATGCACTTGACCAAATTCTCACGACAGAGGGCCTCGCACCTAATTTACGCGAGATCCGCTCGGATTATATCCATGTTGACCATATACCCTCAACATACCTTCAACCCTGCCCCTATCGCTCCGGCTGGCTTCCAGAAGATATAGGACCAAGGGGCGCCAGGAAGCAGCAAGTCGCCATCCAACACTTGGAGCTGAGCTGCCGTATCGACCCTCACAGAATCATGGGCTTTCATATCCAGCGCTGGGCTCAGCTTGTAGATCTGAGCGGTCTTCAAACGCTTGAGCTTACGGCACCTGTGGCCCCCTGTGCTCTCGACAAATTATTATCTTTGCACCTCCCAGCCCTGAAGACCCTAAGCTTTCGTTGTTGGTTGTTGGTTAAAAAGAAAACAGTAAGAAAAATCCAGCCCCAAGAGCAAAACCGGTGTGGGTCTGGGAAAACCCAGACCCTTCAGTGTCCCACATGAAGCGCTTCCTCGCGCGCTTGCCGCGCCTCCAGGCGCTTGCAATTAGGGGTCCGCCCCGCTGATGCCTATCTCGTATAAAGTAACCTACCACCCCGCTCTGGTTGTCCCCGGACTTCATCTGTTAGGTACAATCACCTACGCCTTTTGCCATCCATGGCTAGCATACACAGACTCTCGACCGAAGTCGTACTTCAAATTTGCGAGCTTCTACATGAGGATCACAGACCCAGCTTGGTCTCCTTTGCACTGGCCAACAAGCAATACCACACAATCGCGTCAGTGTCGCTATTTCAAAAGATCACGTTCAACATTACAACACCAAACCGTCTGGAGAAACACGTAGCGAAATGCACGGGAGTTCTTGAACGGAATCACGCTTTCCAGCACGTCCGCTCCGTTGTTATTGTTGGCTCCTACGATGAGGAGTTTTACATGAGGGATGGGTATTATCGATCAGACCTGACTGAAAGGGACAAGGACAACGACATGTTCCATTTCCACCATTGGAACGCCGGGCGTGCGCCTTCCTTGCAGTGGGACATCAACAACGCAAGATTGCATGGAATTCCCGATTACTCCGAGTTTCACGAGCGTGCCAGTGCGAATGGATTCGACTCCACAGACGTGAGGGAAGCCTATGATATGGACGAGGAATGGGAACCCATGGCCCAGTTATTCGACCGACTACCCGGCCTGCGGGAGGTCGTCTACAAGTGCCCGGTTCAATTTCCACCCTGTCTCCTCCAGGCTCTCCATGATAAGATGCCGCAGATCACACCTCGACTTCACCTTCGCGCCTTTAAACTGCGCATGATGAACGACACCATTACCGCCTGGACGGACCCTGATCCCCATGAGATGGCCCTGCTTAAATCGCCTTGCCTTGACAGTCTTTGGTTTGTGGATACTGTTGCCAGTTGGTATCGGTGGATTTCAAGTAGAAGCGGGGATTCACGGGATCGCGAGGAACAAAAGAACTTGCATGCCTTTGGTGAAATGGTGGATAGGTGGCCAATTGCACCCAACCTACACGAGGTTGGGGTGATGCGCAACTATACTCACGTCCAAGGCACCCGTTCTGACAATATTCTTCTCGCCATTATGAGAAATGCAGCCAAGAAAAACACCCTTCGTCTGAAAACCTTGAACTTGGATTGCGCATATGTGAGTCAGATTCTTGCAATGGATCCGAGTCTTGATCTCAGTATGCTGCGAGCTCTTCATCTGTTAAAGATGAGTCACAATTCGGTCATTGATGCGCTTTCGGCTCAGAGCCTTCCCCTACTGCGCGACCTGTCCATACAGTTCATATTCACGGCTTCGTGGAAGGAATACGACAGGGTCAAACAATTTGTAAGAGGGTTCCGAAATCTCGAGAGCCTGCGCGTGCGGGGATGGGATTGGTCTGTGGCTTCCTTTTCGGACTGGTGTGGGGAAATAACCCCTTATCAGACAGTCCGAAGTCTTGACCTTGGATGTGGAGAGGAGTATGGCGGGATGTCAAGCTCGGTTCAGACTGAACTGGAGATCATGTTTCTTGGATATGTGTACTCCGGGGTTGAAACGCTATCTCTGCCCATCCGACGGTCGAAGGGCGACCAGCATGAGGTCCGTTTATACCAGACCCTTGGCAGGAGCTTCCCAAAGCTCAAGCGACTGGCGCTGACCCTCGAAGCACTCTTGCCCAGTGCGGAGAGGCTACCATCTGAAATTCTTAATCCGGCTGCACCCGCTCGAACTCACCTTTCAGGAGCACCAGGTGTCTACCGGGATCCACTAGGTAGCTGGGATCCGATAGTACAATCACGCGAGAGTTACAGCCATCTACCATTCCCCAAACAGCCCTTCATTATTTATGGCTGCTCACCGTTTCTGAACGGCGAGATCCTGGACCTTTTTATCAACTCGGCCGTCGACGCTAAGCTGGCCCGTCAAATCTTTGATGCGATATCTTCCAGCTGCCACACCTCTTCCCGGCTGGACACCATGATGGTCCGTAGTAAGGCCTTGATCCGATTCCGATCCGCATATAACCCCGAGCCAGAGTCCAATGGCTATGTCGCTGGAACTGGGACCGGGTATGGCCGGTGCGACCCAGATGGTTATATTAGACCGTTATTGACCGGACTAACGAGAGAGTGGTTACTTGATACTCTACTTTGTGATGATAGTGGGGAGAAGGTTAGGGTCAAAGAGATTGGGGCGCGGGCTGAGGGTTTAAAAAGGGAACCGGTGGATCCACAGAGCGTTCCTATTACAGATCAATTGGCTCTTTACATGGCAGAGCTCGAGGAGCTGAGTCGTAGAAAGTCCTGTAAAAGGGGAAAACATTTAAACGAGCGGAAAGGGTGGTGGGAGGACGTTAGGGTTTCTGAGGAAAATTCATTGATGGTTCATTTCAGGGAGTTGTGGCCTGGTAGGAAGGAGGGTGGGAGAGGGTGGTGGGAGGACTGGGAGAGTTGGGATTTGGAGACTGTCAGTGAGCAAGGGCATACATAAGCTTTCTTGCAGTGCAACTAAAGATTAGGCTCGAATATTTATTGGTGAGTGGTATTCATGCTAATATTACTTATAGCTGCTTCTAGTTAGATATTTGGGGTTGGTAGAGGGCTGAATTTGCCCACAAGGGGTATCAGATAAACCACTGTTGTCGCCCCCTCCCGAATTACCCATGAGATGATACCCACTAACCTGAATCTTGGAATTGGTGCCAATTTTATGAATGAATCCGATTGACTGCAAAACAATTGACCTTGATTGTCTTTGTCGCGACTTGATCAACAACTCGGAAATTCGAAGCACGCTAATTTTGTTGACAGTTCAATATTTGTGCATTTGTGCATTGTATTATTTTATGCATTGTCCGTGCGTCGGTGCCCAAGCTCCACTTTCGACGACATCGCTACCGACCCGAGAACAGCTCAACGACTTTTGGACCGCAGGTGATGGAGGGAACCGGTTCAACTTAGTTTCTTCAGCCTTTCTGTTGGGAAAACTCAACCGGCTCAAATTTCGCAATCTAATCCGTTCCCCAGCACGTTTACATGTCTTGGTGAGCGCTCGCGCAAGCTGAGATGTCCCCCTTGCTCTCCACATTGCCTCGCGAGGTGTTGTTTCAGGTCTGCGACATGTTTCACGAAGACGACCCATCAGCCGTATTCTCATTTGTCTTGTGTAGTGAGTACTGCTACCAAGCTGCGCAATCAGTTCTGTTTCGGCACCTCAGATTCAAGGTTACCTCGCAGCGCGAGTTGGCAAATCATGTGAAGAAGTGCACCCGTCTTCTTCAGGCCAGGGATGCTTTTCGTCATGTCCGCTCTGTGGCCATTGTCGGACCTGTTGACAGTTTCTTGGGGGGCAGAGATCAGGGCTTTTTTCAACGACTGAGCTCTGGAGAAAGCACTGGCGACAGACAAGATGACTATTGTCCCTGGCACCCATCGCCCTTTCCTCCGCGGATTGGGAGGTGAATGATACAAGGCTTCACGGAATCCCGGATTATTCAGATTTTGGCGGTGAGATCGCTGGCACTGATGAAGAACTATGGAATTACTACGGCACAGATCTCGCGAGAGTGATTTACGACGCAGACTGGGCGTGGCAACCCTTTGGCTGATTTGATCTCTAAGCTATCAGGACTCGGTGATTTGGTTTACCAATGCCCAATGCAGTTTGCACCTTGCTTGCTACGAGCCCTTCACGAAAAGAGTCACACGGTTCGTCTCCATTTACACACGTTCAAGCTACGGATGCTGGACAGGAACCCTAGGATACTGGACTCTCACGAGTACGCTCTGATTACCTCGCCATGCCTTCACTCAGTTAGCTCAACGATACAGTTGAAGTGAATTCTTTGGGGAATCCCAATGCATTGAGAGAGGCACACAGCCGCCAGTACGAAGTGCTTTGTCTAATGCTGAGGAATTTCACATTCACCCACAACATCAGAGAGATTCGCCTTCGCGCCCCCCTTATTCGCTCCTGTCCCGGTGCCCCAGACTGGAATTCTGACCCGAACTCTCCTTTGCCACAGCAACTATACAACGGAAAGCCAACGACAAAGCCACCAGTCATCGACCACCTTGAGCTAGACCACTGCTTCATTCCTGACGTCATGAGTATGAAGCTACCTCTAGACCTCGGCGCTCTGAAGAGTTTGACCCTGACACGCGACACTACACTGGCTGAATTCAGCTGTGTGAAGAGCAAGGGGCTATTCTCCTATTTAACGACACTTGCTATCGGCGGGCTTGTTGTGCGCGAGTCTTTAGAAGGTCTAGGAGACTTCCCGACACTGTTCGCTAAGTTGGAGAATTTGACCATTGCGGGATGCTTGTTTCGTCCTACTTCCCTAACAAACCTTTAAACTGGGACCTGCCCTCTCAACACTGTCAACAGCCTCCGCTTTGTCGAATGGGATGAGGACTATGTTGAGCCTAGCCTGGAGGGCGAGGAAGGTCTATATGTCCTCGGGGGATCCATTGAAATCATAGAGGAACTAGCCGCGCTCGGGGCTATCTTTCCATCCGTCCAGAAGCTGTCTATCCCAGTCAGGCGCTCCAAAGGCGACAGGCACGAGGTCCCATTGTACAAGGCCATCGGGACTGAGTTCCATAATCTCGAACGACTGTCCCTCACGCTCGACGTGGGACTCCAAGTGTTTGATGGCGACAATGAAGTTTACCACAGCGTAGTCTTTATCGAACCACGCAAGAAGCAGAAGGAGCAGTCAAAGGTGCAATCAACAGAGGACGCGATTTTGAGGCACGACTTTAATCTACTGGAGTTGCTTCCGACCATGCGAACGATGAATCAGCATCGCTGGGAATGGTCTGAAGATTCGGTGGTCTTGAAGCAGGGAGACCCAGGCTTCACCTTCAACCAAAACATTCTGGACGTGATGGTCAACTCGGCGATTGATGGAAAGTTGGCAAGGCAGATCTTTGATGGCGTGGCGGCTTCCTCTCCAAAACTGCAAAGAATGATAGTGCGCACTAGGGGTTGCAATTTGAGTGTGCGTACTGTCCGTAAGGTCAAAGAGCAGCGCCATTTCAGTGATGATTCTTGGCCTTACCGGGAGGATCCGGTAGGCCGGGAAGACGATGAGATGGCGTCATTGATGCACGCACTTCAGAAGCAGTGGGTTGTTGACAGGTGTCTTGGTGGTGGTGGACGCAGCGGTGATGGTTCTGGCATTGTGAAGGTGAAGGAGATCAGGGGGGGGATGTCAAGACGGCAAAGAATCTTGCAGGAATATTTGGAGAACGAACCGCTGAAGGTCGAGGAGAAGGGTGGATTGCCGTTGCATTTTAGGTACCTCTGGCCGCGGGTCGACGAGGGGAGTAAGTGGTGGTGGAAAGATTGGCAGAGTTGGGAGTTGGAGGATGTTTAAGTCACGAGTGTTGTAGGTAACATGTTTGAACGAGCCTGGGAGTAGGCACTCATAGCTAGGCATATCTTAGTTCGTGGTTTACTTTGCCCGGTCTCAACAGTCTGACGAAATCCAACTCATGTCCAACCCCTCTAGCTCCGATTTTTCGTATGTTGCGTAGGGCGGACCGGTTCACTCACGTAGGTGAGGTTTCATCCGACCTCTGCCCTGAGTCGCCCTCTTCAACTTGATCTGCCGCACCAATATTCTGCTTCGGGCCTTCCTGCCGGATAGGTTCCATGTTGAGCTCCATATTCGACCGCATGGTCGATCCCCTTTCCCCCTCACAGCTGTCCTGTTCCTATACGTCGGTCCGCGGGTTCGGCAAATCTTCCACTGACTGTCCATCGGTCTTCATCGCGGAAGGGTCTTCAGGCTCGGGAAGCAATCCATACCAAGCAAACGCGGGAATGACAAGCAGCCTGGCGTCTTCTTGAGTCGGGCAAATTCCGGTGTCCACAGCGATTTTGGCTAATGCTTCAAATAACGAATTCTCGAACCGTCTGGGTGTTGTCGTATTGGCTTTCCCTGGCTCACTCCGGCCGTTTCCACCATTTTGATTGCTTGCTGTGGTTTGTCCATGGAGCATCAGTCTGGTTGTTGTCCCTTTGACTTCCCTGATATGACCCGCTAGGGCAAGGATGAAGAGGGAGAACAGCTCCATAGCATACGCATGCACTAAAGAATCGCGCCGGATCTTGACCAGGGTCATGACCTCATCAGCGGGAATACCGGGGAGCGGCCGTCGTTCAATTTCCGATCTTTCCTCTGGAAGGTCGTCGTCTTGTAACTGTGAAATATCGCTGTATATCGTAATGAAAGTCAGATGTACGAAACCATATACTTTTGCAAACAGCCAGTTGCGCTTACCTCGCATACGATGATAAAAACATTCCCCAACATGATGGTTCCCTGGCGTAGCCATCAGATGTACAGTTTATGTCGGTGTTTGGATATGCCTGAAACGTTGCCTGATCAAGCCAATCGGGCAGGCTACTGGCGTTTCTAGCAGTTCTGTATCTTGTAGAGCTGCTTATAACGCGCTTGTCTGTTGTCGTACGATGGATGTCCCATCTGACGTAGGTGGAAACTACCAAGAGGGCTTCAAACACATCTCCGATACCTACGCTCTCTCCGTACCAACCTCGCCTCCTTCGCCAAGGAAATATAATCCTTGATGGGTGGCACTGGTGATCTTCATTAGATACGGGAGGGCGACTGTTCAATTGACAGTCAAACATCCACCACAGTTGAATTTGAGCACCAAACAAGAAGTTGTGCAAGGGGGACTTTGACTTCCATCTAACATTGCTCAATGGCAGTTGACTCCCGATGTTTAGCAAGTCGATAATTAGCCAAAAAGCCTTTGTCAAACCTTCAGCAAATGTCCTGTGTTGAGTATCAGGTGCTCGCAAGGCTGGAGCTCCCATCCAAAGATTTAATAGGAAATCAACAATCGTGCCGCGGCTCGTTGTATTATCGTATTTGACCGCCCTAAAAATAGTGCTGGAAAGCTGATATGCAACCGGCGAAATTGTGTTGTTATCTCTGAGCGGATTATTTATACTGCGGAGAAGGGGGCCATAGTATCGAGGGTTGACGAGGTAGGATGGAGTTTGAGAGTTTCTATCCTCCTTGTTGACAAGGCCGGCAATTACACCCCATTGCTCACCATACAGCTGTTGCACCTGGCTGTCATTGAGTTCATCAGACTCGCTCTGACTGGTGACACCTAAGATCAAGAAAGTCCAGCAGTCATCTAACCGTTCGAAGTGAATGGAGGAAAGTCCCTTGGCAACGTCTTTTCTGATATATGCTCTGACAGTAGTCATAAGTAATGTTACGGCAAGTTGGATGATTGCGGCCGACCAATGCAACCCCCTTAGACCCACAAACTGAACCACAAAGCCCACGGTGACCAGAGAGACCCCTATAATCAATAAGGCCCTAACTCGATATCATCAGTCCTGACGTGCCAAGAACTGCCCGGGTTTTAAAGTCTCTTGAGTCTTACTTGGCTGAGTCGTTTGTTCCTGTGTAGGACGGTGAACGGAGGTCAGGATTATCCTCGGGATTGAATATGGCATAAGTCCCAAAATGCTGATCATTTACAGTAGCCTCGAACTGCAGTCGAAAGATGCGGACGTTTCGTCGCATTTCTGGTGGACAAAGCCAGCTTTGTTCTTCGCTGACTGAGTCCACCAGATGTCCACACAACACGACCCCGACAGTCAACATCATGGTCCCTGCCAAGTAACACGGATAGCCATAATCTGAGGAGCGATTCGTATCCTGTGACCAATTCCATTTGTATGTAGCGAGACCGCTGAGAACCACAGATGCTGTCTGGAGTGCAGTTCCCACAGCAGCCCACTTCTAGATCTGTATTCGTGAAACAGGGGGACTACTGACGTTGAGGCTGAGATTCGGCGGTGGCTCTAGAGGTGGCGAATAAAAGCCAATATCATCCGGGTTCTGGAACATCTCGTCGTCCTCTTCACTGGTGATAGGAAATATTTCGCCTGTGTCTGTCCTCAAAAAGGTTAGGGACATTTTAGGTTGACCACGGATGCGCACAATGCGACTGCCCGTCCAGAGTTCGCACACTTCGGTGGACGTCGACGACAGGAGCTCTACCTCGGCACTGGCCCTGTCTTCTCTAGCTCTATCAGACCTCGGCAATTAGCAACGCTCCTATCAAACCACTAAAAGAAAAGACACGGAAACTCATTTGGCGGCCAGGCGGGTTAGGTATACAACCTTCCAATTAACGCGTGCAAAATCGGTACTTGATCACCAGCGACCTGGATAGCGCCGACAATGATGGTTAAAATACCAAGTGGACCCATAGCCAGGAGCACGCTGTCGGCCCAACCAATACTCATGGAGAGAAATTGCTTGGTGACTTGCTCTCCAAACAATGTAAGAAGTGGTGCCAGATCAGTGAAGAGATTGTTGGCAAAGCCATTGCCGTCAAAGTCCCCGTCTGGGGTAGCCATTGTGTCGACGACGGCGTTGACAGAATGAACGAGAAGTCGTGCGGGGTTTGGGAATCTTAGGCAGCCTGAGAAGTCCACATCATCGACACCGGAAACGCAAGCTGTGTGCCTGTCTCAATCTCAGAACAGATCTGACTGGTGCCTGCAACTGTGCCAGCACTCTGGTGATACCACTGTACTACATATACATAGTACGAGCGAAGCTCATGGTGGCGGAAGGGGATTCCACGTACTTGATAGAACTGGAAACCCCGGTGGAATTCCTGGCATAGAAGTTTAGCGAAAGAGTCAAAACGTATTCGACTTCGATCCCACCCATCATTACTTTTATCGAGCACTAAGTACCCGTGTCGACTTTGTCGAGCCCAAGCAAGGCGCCGACCAACGCAATTCTAGTTAATGCAATCACAATTCAACCCAATTCAACCCGGCCAAAATAGTGGTCAACAGGTCATTTTTGAAAGATTGAATTGCGTTAATTAGAATTAACTGCGCCTTAATATATCCACTTTCCGTAGTAGTGAGTCCACGCTATTAGTCACAAGCTATATATAGCCCTAACCCTGAGGCCCTCGGGCAGGGTCCTGGGCAGCACTGGGAGGGCCTTACCAGGGTGCCAAGACCGTGATCAATCGTATTCAACGCAATTCAAGTTCAATTCAATCAAAGTATTCCAGTGCTCAATTCAATCCAATCTTGGCCCCGGATTGAATTGAATTGCGTTGATGGGTGCCTTGAGCCCAAGAGCTCAAGAGCTCAGGGGCTTGGCAAGGGAGGGTGCGCACGGGCCACACATCTGGGTGTCGAAGACGGGGTTTGTCGAGAGTTTGACTAGGTGGCTACCATTCAACGATCCCCATCTGATAACACTAGGAGTTGCTGATAATGTTCTCAATCGATTTACAATATACGATCGACAAAGGCCGCATGGGCGGCCGCGAATTCGGCCGCGTCGTCGGATTCGTTGCGGGCCGCGGCAAATCAGGTTGCTTCATGGCTTCAGACGACTCTGAGTGCGAGATATCAAGTCCGAGATCGTCTGGCATTGGACAATTCCAAATATAGGCTGTGAAACATCATCATGGCCGCCAGAGGCATCCTCTCATACCTGTTACAGGCCTCAGGTCTACCGCTGGCACCAGACAGGTTAGCCGAGCAGGCAAGCCTGGACCTATACGGCCGACGGAACAGATGATGCAAGTTCGAGGTTGTTTTGACGCTTTCATTGCTGATTCTTAACTGCACAATGCGCTACAGCCACAGGGTTCACAGGTCATGACCTGAGGAAACCGAGAAACACTTAGCCTCCCAGAAGCTGTCCAGAGACCTGGGAGAGCCATGGCTATAGCCAGATACTACGGCTTGTAATCGGTCAACCGTTCCGAATGAAGATAACACAGATCTGAACATGGGACTGTACTATCGTCAGGAAGACATAAAATGATCCGTTCCTCTTCGTAAAGTCGGAAGATCAGAACAACAACAACAGCAACACAATCACAACACAACACAGCAAACTCACAACACATCAACAAACCACTTTTACCAACTCTTCTAATCAACCATCCAAAATGCGTGCCGCCACCACCATCCTCCTCATTGCCGGCTGCGCCAGCACTGCTTTCGGCGCTGCCACCAAGATGTTCAGCGATGAGAACTGGTAAGTTCCTAACCCCCATCACCAGGTGAAACCCCCCTAACAAATCTCTCACAGCGGTACTGAAGTCGACAAGAAGGTCTTCAACGGTTTCTCCACCGGTGATGCCCCCATCCCCTCCGACATCAAGTCCATCAGGACCGACTCCTTCTCCGATGTCTGGTTCGCCTACCAGGACAGCGAGGGTCCCAACTGCAAGGGCGATCTCATCACCCGCGTCAAGAACGACGAGTGCATCAAGACCGCTGATCTCGGCATCGGCTGCACCCGTCTCTGCAGTGGTGGGTTGGGAGGTGGTGATTGCGCTACCACGCAGGCTTAAGTGGTGCTGTTGGTGCTTTAGCTAGGAGTTGGGGCTTTGCATTGGACGGTGTTGGGGAACAGCATGGCGTTGGGTAATGCTTTTGACTTGGTGTAGCTATGAGGCTTAATGCTGCTAGAATTGGAATAGACATAACCGCAGTGCGGTTTAGAAAACCTCTGATGCGTTCCGAGAAATGAGTGAACACGAACATCCTGCAAGCCTATGCCCCGCATTGAACGTCCATCATCCCTGCACTACTACCATATCCTCTCCAGCGGAAAGTCCTTGGGTCCAACATAGGCCGTGTAATCCCCAGTCGGAGTAACGCCCTTCATGACCTGGATCTGCTCGTTGGGAATGAAATGCGCGCCCCTGGTGTAGCTAAGAAGAGATACTTGAACGCTGACGATGACGGTCATGCCGGTCTCGTTTCGGACGACGTCGAAAGTACGCGATGAGGGAGGGCAGGTGCCGCCTTGAATCTCGGGGAGGATTCCCGGGCCGCCCACACCGGAGGCGGTGCAGTCATAGCCTAGGGTGTCCATGGTTCCAGGCATGAAGGCATTTAGAGAGTAGCTGTCTCGTGTTAATATTAACGTGTTGGATAGGGAGGGGGGCGGAATGCTTACAAGCACATGGCGCTGTGAGGGACGCAGCTGGCGGTGAAGTTGCGGGCTTCGAAAACAACATCGCGCGTGGTGATGACGGCCGCGGAGGCAGCACTGGCCAGTGCAAGAAGTGAGAGCTTCATTTTGGCAATTACCGGGCTGGAGTGCCGTGAATTGAATATGGGGTTTGAAAGTTGTTCAGTCCAAGTGAAAGTGAAACTACTAGAGAAATAAAGCAGGAAGAACCGCAGCATTTAACTACCGGTGCAAATACCTAGGTGCAAAGCGATAACGATGATGATCGGTGGACTGGGCACTCGTATTCACCTCTAGTGTGGAGCAAGTCGACAATGCGTCCCCAGTCAGTTGCCCGATTTGTGCTTAACCGACGTTCCATTGACCCTACCAAGCTTTGCGCGTTGTAGCCACACGTCATATCTAGCGGGCTAGCTAAGCCATGAACTCCGTTGACGGTTGTAATATGTAGTATCGACACATTGGCACCGATCCTAGTAGGTTCCATATTGCTGCGTCATATGAGCATCCATAGACCTGGTCCAGCATCAGGTCTCGATCACGACCCAAATAACCCCATCACCGGCCGCTCACCAAAAATCGGGCCGGGCTTCATTTGCGCACTAGTCGGAATGCTTGATAAGGGTCTTGACAGATTTCGCTTCTGGAGGCTCCTAGATGGGTTTGGGAGCGCACGCGCTACCCGCGAAGTGGGAATAGCTTCATTAGGGGTTGTCGGTATGACCACGCGCTACCCGGTAGTTCCACCACGGCCGCGGGTTGCCGAGGCCACCACAGGGCTCAGCCCGTGACGCGATTTGCATGATCTGAAGCCCCAAGTATCTTTTGGCCGCCGATTTTATTTCTGATTTCCATTTTCGACCAGCGTGTAACTGTAAATAACATGAACAGCAAAGAGGGTGGGGTGCCTCTTGCTATTGCGACACCCCCTGAGCGAGTCCGGAATGGCAAAAGATTTCCCTCGACATAACATTACACATCGTGCTTGGCAACCACGATCTGGCCTATCGACGCGATTACGAGACCACAGCCCTTGATGCCCTCAACATCACACGCCTGGCGCCGTACCTATCGGTACATAGTGCCATCACCCGCCAGATGGGACGGTCGACACGTGTTGTTGTTGCCGTTTCGCGAGGAGCAGAGCGAACTGACAAAGGCTGTCGCTGCCCTCAGCCCTAAGGATGCGAAAGAAACAGTTGCCTTTGCCCATCTGGCAGTCAACAAAGCCATCACTCAGCGGTATGTGGTCAATGCCGACCAGCAAGACGCCCGTGCGACGAATTCGATCACCTACCGCGGCCTTACTGGCCATGATCAGTTTGCCTCTCTGGCTCGAACATTTACGGGCCACTTTCACAGCCACCAGACCATTACCCAGCAGAAATCCAGTAGCGGTGACAAGACAGATCTTCGGGGGAGCATTACATATCTCGGCTCGCCCTTGCAGCTGAACTGGGCCGACCTTTACGATCAAGAGCGAGGTGTTGTTCTGCTTGATCCGGAGACGCTCGAGCACAAACTTCTCACCAACCCGCATGCCGTAGGCTATACAGCAGTTGCCCTTGAGGAGATTCTCAACGACCAGGTGGATGAACGTTCCGTAAAGGACAGGCATGTCATGATCCTCGGCAAGCTCACCCCTTTCAAGTACGCCACCGCTCGAGACAAGCTTCTCTCGCTAGGGGTGCGCGGCGTACGAAATTGGATACCTACGCACTTTAGCTTGCACGCAAGCGGCCCGGCGTCTGGTGGTCTGGGGTCATCTGTCCCAGCGAGCGATGTTACTGCACAACCTTTAGAACAGCCCACTCAGGATGAGGCTCATGAAGCCTCAACCACCGGGAGAGTTTCAGAGTCTATCCCTGAAACTGAGCCTGAGTCCAGGAAGATTGCTCTTGACCTCATAGCCGAAGTTCACGAGTATGTCAAGTCTGTGGATTTAGGGGAACCGCTTCTCATGCGGCAAGACGATTTGGTCCAGGTTGGCCAACAAATGATTCAAACCTCTTATGGGATGGCTGACCAGTATGGCGAGGCCAAGCTTGATTATAAAGAGTTCCTAGAAAAGTCGTGTCAAGCCATCTCCTCAAATATTACGCCCCCCAACCCAGCAGTACGATCTGCCAACGTCTTTGTTGCGGAACCTCGCAGCCTCACGATTACAAACTTTCTTGGCGTAAAAGGACACAATTCATATCGACTTCCAACAAGATCTCACACCGGGATTGACCTTTCTGATCGGCGATAATGGTTCAGGGAAAAGTACAATAATGGAAGCTATGGTTTGGTGTCAATTCGGTCGATGTATTCGTGGCGGGCTCGGGGTCAACGATGTCGTGAATGATAACGTCGGTAAAGACTGCTGTGTCAAGCTGGAGTTTAACAACGGATATGCCATCACTCGGTATCGCAAACACAAAGTCCAGGGCAACCGTGTTGTCATCTCCTCACATGGAAACCCCCTTCCGCACTTTGAGCACCCAGATATGCGCACGACACAATCAGCAATCAACGAACTGCTCGGAACTAACTACGAAACATACATCAGAACTGTTGTGCTGAGCGAAGAGAGCGCAGCGAGCTTCTTGTCCTCCACGCCAACGCAGCGGTGGAACGTGATAGAGACGGCACTTGGGCTGTTTACTTTGGATCAGTGTGAGGAGGTGCTGAAACTGCTGCTGCGAGATATCGGTACCGACATCAAGGAGGCCGAGAAAGGACTCGAAGGTGTGACTCGGACGGTGGAGTACACCGAAAGACGGCTTCAAGACCTCACTCGCACGCATACACGACTTGAAGCGGAAGCAAGAAAGGAAGCTTCAGCTTTGGAGAGGGCCGTACAAGACCATGCAGCCAAGGAACGACTTTTGAAGGAACACCAAACCCGATTCAGATATGAAACCTCACAAAGTATTGCAGATTCCAGCCGCCAAATCTTGGGGTTAGAGAAAAAGGATCTGGCCCTGGAGCTCAATGTGGGCTTTCATGCTCATATGTCTGGATTGCAGACCCAAATTCGCATGGAGGAGGAGGCTTTGCAGCAGCTAAACGAGTCTTATGCCAGGATGAAGGACGAGGTCCAGGTGCAACATGAAAGGGTCTTGAAATACAAGCAAAGCCAGGAAGCAAAAGATGCTCAAGAATGCGTATATTCCCGTCGAATGGAATGGCTCGCCTTGTGGTTGGAAATGCTTGATGAGAAACTGAAAGCCCTCGCTGCGGGCCAGCCCAGTGGCCTACCCAACTCTTTTCATGGAATGAGGACTTCTGTTGTCTCTTGGCTATCCACAGCTATCGTTACAGTCATGAGCCTACTCCGAAGGCCAACTAATCACAATATCGCTCCAAGAGGTTCACTCAATCAAGACGCGCAGAGTGCACCAATCCACGACGCTGAGAAAACAACTACACAGAACCATGATCAAGAGGCAGCTCTCAAAAGTCTTCTTCAAGCTATCAATGAGAAAAGGTTGCGGTTACGCAGTCTGAAGCATGAGAAAAATATCGCTGCCAACCATGCCAGGAACATGGGTGAACTGCTGACGGGTGTTGTTCAAGCCCAGGAGGCGTGCGATGCCTTGAGACAACAGCTGACGATACACCACCGTAATGCTTCTACCTACAAGCGTCTGGCCGAAGCAGAGGCCTCATCCTTAGATTCCTTACGCTCGGAGCATGAGGCCCTGACAAACAAGCTCCAGGAGCTTGCCACCAAGCGCGAGCTATTCGCCTTTTGGTCTGCCGCCTTGACCAAGCGTACAGCCCGGCTCTCATCGTCCCCCTCCTCATCAAAACCCACAGCGAAAATCAGGGCCAATTTTCGGGAGCATATCCTCATCGCGCTGCTCTCGGAGCTCAACACTCTGCTCGCGCAGGTCCTTACCGTGCTGTACGATGACACACGCCACGCGCACCTGGCAACAGGTATGCTCGGCTCGTTATTTGACTCTGCTGAGTCGGGCGACAGCGCATCCTCCCCGGGGTCCATTCTTGACCAAAAACTCGCCCTCCCATCCTCTCTCGCCTACGCGAAGCGCTCCAGTGGCGAGCGTAAACGCGTCGATCTGGCACTCTTCTTTGCATTGTTGCAGTTGACCAGGGCTAGAAGTGCGCATCGGGCACACTATCTGCTTGTTGACGAGGTCTTTGACAACCTAGACAAGGCAGGCCAGGCGGCGGTCGTCAGGTGGTGCGGCGTCATGTCGCAGACTCGGATGGTGGGTTGGATCATCGTGATCACGCACAGCCAGTTTTTGATCGAGCTGGATCCTGGGGAGGACACTGCAAAGGTTCTAGTTGTGACGGCAAAGATGGGGCGGGGAGGGGGGACGGAGTTGTCGATCAACAATGGACGTAGCATTGGCGGAGGTTCTTCCGTGACCGGGTAACTGGTAGTACGCGCGCTTGTTGGGTAAATATCTTGTTTTTCCAAGCGCGCCAATCGCCAAGAATGAAGGGGATGGAGCCAGACGGATTCTTTTTTGCATCAATGGGAATTCGTGAGATTAATAAAGGTTACGGTTGCCTCGAACTTGACATCACATCTGACATGCGAATAGTACCTCTCGAGTATTTCACAACACTTCATCGGTAGCTTTTACAGCCCTCCCAACCTCAAACCTCACCACCCACCTCCCAAACCCTCACCCCTATCCACCCAAAATGAGACCCCCCCACGTCCTCCTCTCCCTCCTCCCCCTCAGCGCCGCCCAACTCCAACCCGTCCCCACCTTCGGCCCCCCTATCCCCAGCCGCGCCAAAATGTTTGTTTACGCCCCCCCAAACCTCCCCCCTAACCCAGCTATTCTCCTCGGCGTGCACTACTGCACCGGCACCGCCCAAGGCTATTACAACGGCAGCCCGTACAAACGCCTCGCCGACGAGAAAAAGTTCGTGGTTGTCTACCCTGAATCACCAAACGAGGGCGGCTGCTGGGATGTGAGCTCTAGGGCTACGCTGAAGAGGGATGGCGGGAGTGATAGTCATGCGATTGCCAATATGGCGAGGTGGGCGGTGGAGAGATATAACGGGGATAAGGGACGGGTGTTTGTTATTGGGGAGTCATCGGGTGGGATGATGGCTGTAGGTTACCCCTATACCTGAGCTGAGCTGAGAATGTGGTGCTAATTATGACCAGAGTATCCTCGCTGCTGCGTATCCTGATTTGTTCAGCGCGGTTATTAACTACTCCGGTGTAGCAGCCGGCTGCTTCTTCACTGACTCCGTTGCCGGCTGGAACGGGAACTGCTCAGGGGGGAGGATGAACTTGACACCTGAAGAGTGGGCGAGGTGGGTGTTGGATGCTTATCCGGGTTATAACGGGACGAGGCCAAGGATGCAGGTTTACCATGGGAGTGCGGATGATGTTATTGCGCCGGCGAATTACAACTATTCCATTGCGCAGTGGACGACCGTGTTTGGGTACCCTGGGACGCCCCTGGAGGAGAAGAAGGATGTGCCTGAGAGAAGGTATACCACGCAGGTGTTTGGGGAGAAGTTGACGGGGATTTGGGCGGAGGGGGTTGGGCATGGGGTGCCGGTGCATGGGGAGGAGGATATGAAGTTCTTTGGGCTGTGAGTGACTGCCAGATGGTGTGGTGTCTCGGGAAACATGGTGTTATTTCCATGGAGGCGGGCTGGAAGTGAAATCGGTGCTATAAAAGTGATAGAGAAGAAGCCCCGGTATGCAACTGTTTGACCCCTTGCACCATGTAAAAACACCATCCTCGAGCTGACCCTCCGTCAGAAGTACGTCCTTTTCTGCGTCTTCGCTCTCGCCCTATACTCCAAAAGAAGATTCCTCCCTCTCTCCGCTTCCTCGAAAATGTGCCCCAAGCCGTACTTATCTGGGTTTTGACACATCGGGCAGTTACGAGCAAGCCCGTCATCCTCATCTTCGTGGGGTTGAAACTCCCGAGCATCGTGATAGCTATCGCCATTTTCATCTTCGTACCAAATATCCCCGTCCTCATCCATTTCCGCTCGGTAGCCGGCCATACACAAGGCGTTCGTGAGTAGGCAAACGAACGGGAATCGAGACATGCGTAGTTGACCTTCCGGTGTGGATATCGTATCGTAAAAGAGTGTGATCCCTGGTCGGACATTCTGATTGTCTCCCCCGTCAACATCACAGTTACAGAGACTTGAACCGCTGTCCCTGTCATTGTAACTCCGGTGCTGTTTTCGACAATCACAGTCACCATCTTCGCTGCCTGAATCCGTATCGTCATCAGAAGATTCCAGTGAATTATCTGAATCGCTGTCCCTATCAGAACCAACATCATTTGGCGTGTCTCTTTCAGCTAGGTAAATGTGTCCCCTGCTACACCACAAACTAGTTCTTGCAGGTCTTCTCGTGTGCTCTGCGTCTTCGTATTGTATAATGACTTCCTTCGGAAAGCCGCACAGGGCACTGCCGTTCTCGTCTGATCCCGAAGGGTAGAACAAGAGGCCTCGAATCCTGTAGCTGCAGGCTCTTGCTACCTCAGGGGTCTGGATATGCCCACAGTAATCATACCATGCTCTAAAGAATCCAATGCCATGATGGAAATGCTGAATCCAAACAGTCCTAAATAGCTGGTGCGGGTCTGAGTCATGGAGAAGAAGGTGGGTGAGCATCGCCTCTTCTCTAAGAAAGTCAAAGCAAACGTCATGGTTCCGACCTACTACCCTTGTCATTATCCTTTCCCAAAACCCAGTCCATACATCGTTTGACAAAGAGTCAGATATGTTGGTATTTGCGCCACACTGAAGAAGCCAGTGGCCCATTTCGTAAGCTTTGAAATCCATACAGCGTTGTAAAGGTGTGCCACCCCAAACGCCATGCCCAGAGTTGATATCTGCACAAGCTTCGCGCAGCATTGAGCCGGCTAGAACATTGTTGCCCATAGCAGCCTCATGAAGCGGCGTCATGTAGTTATCTCCAGTATTCGGATCTATTCCAATGGCCCCCATGCCAAAAAGAAGCATTGGAATATCGTTGTAGTAAGCAGCGGCATGTAGTAACGACATCGATGATTGGCGTGTAGGATTCCAATCTGAGAAGCCCACGGAGTGCAGTAGCTTGAGTTGCCATTTGTACCTTCGATGCGCCACAGCGTCTATCAAATCGGCGGGTCTGGATTGGAAAGATTCTAAATCTGCACCATGAAAAAGCAATGACGAGACCGAACGCGAGAACCCGAGCCCAAAGGCAAAGAGAACTGCCGGTCTTTAAACTGTCAGCGAGGCCTGCTAGAATACACCCAACGACGGAATCGGTTATGGAATGGTCAACTTTACTTACAAGCCCGTACTGCCATTGAAGACATTAGGATCGCAGCCTCTGTCAAGAAGATACCGAAGCAATGCACCACCTCGGAACTTGGTAAAAGGCGAATGAAGCGACTTGTCTTGATCACTTTCAGTGGTCCTAAAAAGATGCTACAGTTCAACATCAGCAGAGTGACTCAGAATCACTTTTGTGGAAGTACTGCCCCCCCGGACTGTGTCCTGTAAACGGACCTCGAGTAAACCTCTCCGGGTTTCATGATCGACATCATTAACGCTGGCTTCTCCGCTTTCCAGCAAGTGCTTGACTGTAACCATGTCCCATTCATAGCAGGCCTGGAATATAGGAGCACTGGTTGGTCGGATGTTGATAATTGTGATAGCACAATTCATGCCGGGCAAACTCATCCAAGTCCTGGCAAACTGCCTTGCCTTTATCTCGAACTGAAATATCCGTTGACCAAGTATCTTGAGTCTGGCCCTGAATTTTGCGTGGGCCCTCCGCTCATTTTTCTTTGATAGAAGTGCGACGACCATCCCACCAACGCAAGGTTTTGTGACGGTAATCCCAAACAACTGATCATCCGGTCCAGTGAACCAATGGTATCGGGCAAAATGCTTCTTCCAGTCGTTCTCGGTCATCAACTGTTCAACCTTTGAAAAAACCCTCTCTGTTGCTGGCTGTGGAGCATGTTGTCGAGGGAGAGAAGAAATGTCCCGCGTTTTCCGTATTGCGCTATCGGCTCGCTGCTGGGGAATGTCTGATATTGGGCGGGGCATGGCCTGCGCCGACGCTGGTTCTTGGTTTGCAATATTCTCTCGCAGTTTTGATAAGTCGTCGCTCAATTGCTCGTGGGAGCTGACCAGGCCCTAAAGCTTGTATGTAAGCCTGTGCGAATAGTGATCAACTGACTTTTAATAAAAAGTAGCGTTACCTGAACCTTGGTATCATTTTCAGTCTGTGACTGCAATATGGACAACAGCGTATGGTCAGCATTTGCTTTGAATTCAGATATCGTGTAGTGTTGAGCCTCGACGATGGTTTTGACGTCACGAGCTGACTGCAAAAAGTCTGCTCGGAATGCCTGCTGCGCGAGTTGCATCGCGGAGAACGATGTCCAGATATGGGAGTTGAGCCGGCTGTGATACGATATCTACGTAAGACAATGGTCAGGAAGTCAAGAGGGATCGACTTACGTATTAAGAATTAGTATGACTGTATCCAAGACCATCTCTGCCTTCCTTAGCTCCTCGATAACCACCGTTGACCTTTTCTTATCGATTAGCGACCACAGCAGCCTCCGACTGAAGTTGCAGCCAGGTTTTGGTGTCGAGGACTGCCCAGCAGTGTTGTGAAGTGTCGTGAGGTTCTTCAATGCCCTCTCACTTGCCAGGAGGGAGCTAAGGAGCATGTCCTTGTGGGTAGCTGGAAGAATATCTTCCACGCCCGTCATTAACAAATCCTGGCCGAGAGCCTGAAACTGTTGAATGATCATCTGTAACGAGGCAAGCTTCGCGCTCAAGTTTCTGAGCTCGGTTGGGGCGTTGATGAATGACTGTACGAGCTGGGTCGAAGTTTTTCCGGCCTTGATGCATAGCTCCAAGAGCTGGCCGACGGCCGCCACCGCCCCAACGATCTCGAGAGGCTCCATTTTGCTGTAATCGTCCTGGATGAAGAGAGAAATCCTGAGGGTTTCAGCGAAACTTGATAGTTGTCGGTGTTAATGTTTCTGTCAAGGCGAAGGAACAGCGCATAGACATCGGGCAATGCATGCAAGTCAAGCGGGGTTGAGGCAGGGCAGTAACTGCAAGTCACCAATCATGGTGAGAACTGAGGTAGATAGATGCATGTCCAGACGCCACGGTGGAAGTTGCCGCGGGCTGTGTACCGCAGGCATTGTTCTGGTGAATTGGCGATGTTTGTGGGGGGCGTGAGGACCGCATTTCGTGGGAAGCAGGCTCAGACAAGGTGGTGGCTCTGGATTGGTCTCGGAAAAACTCTTCGAGGGCATTTCTGCAAGGAAAGCACGACGGTAACCCTAACCCATACGACAGCGTGCCCATGGAGCAAGTCCCTAGGTGCAGGAAAACATCTACGCAGAACCTTCCGAATCTGGCTGCAAGCGCCGGACATACTTGAGGTGAACATCATGGTCACAGTCTACGAATTTCTCCTGCAACGATCATAGGGCTTTGTGGCGACGTGGTTTAGCGCCCCAATCGGCTATAACCTGAAGGCAAGTAGAAACGAAGCGGAGGGCCCAGCGACAGAGTGACGTAAGGTGCAGGTACCGGAGTATCTCAAACCCATCTATCAGACAATGCTGCTCAGGAAGTTCCCAAACATACCTAGGCTTTATAAGAGCTGTGCCCGTCAAAGTGCTTTCATCCCATGTCTTCACAGCATCAACATCGATATTCAGCATTGCGGTCGCCACGATGAAGTCCTGGAAGGTTGCACTACTACCCGCACTCGCCAATACCCGGCTGACGGTGGCATTGGATAATGGAGTTGGGTTGAAACCTCATATGGGTTGGAGCAGCTGGGTACCGACAAGGCCCTTCCTGTATGCTTACCGGGTGCTGACTTTGTTGGTAGAATGTCGCCCAATGCAACGCAGCCTCAGCCAGGTATGCCCTCGCAACGGCAGACAAGTTCATTTCTCTTGGACTCAAGGACCTTGGGTATGAATGTGAGTTCTTCTGAGCCCAGTGTTTGCTGAAAAACGCGCTCATCCATCCTAGACATCAACATCGACGACTGCTGGTCCACCAAGAGCCGTGACAGCTCTGGAAGGCTCGTACCCGACCCAGCCAAATGGCCCAACGGCATCAAAGCCGTCACCGACAGGATCCACAGCATGGGACTCAAGTTCGGCCTGTACGGCTGCGCTGGCGACAAGACGTGCGCTGGATACCCAGGAAACGAGGGCCACGAAAGGGGTGATGTTGACCAGTTGGTGAGTTGGGGAGTCGACTTCTGGAAGTACGACAACTGCTACACACCCTGCCGTCAAAATCCTCGCCCTCAAACTTGTACCAGCCCGGCCGGCAGCACCAAGACTTGGTACGCGCCCATGAGAGACGCCATCCTCGGAGTTCAGAACACCAAAAAGCTGCATTTCAACCTCTGCAACTGGGGCCGTGACGAAGTCTGGACTTGGGGTGCTAGCTACGGTCACTCATGGAGGTACGTCGTAATCGCCCACCATCAACACCCCTTACCAAGGCTAACAGATAGCAGAATGAGCGTAGACAACTGGGGCGACTGGGCCAGTGTCGAGCGCATCGGCAATGCAGCCGCCGGGATCTACCAGTACAGTGCTCCAGGCGGCTTCAACGACCTCGACATGCTCTACCTTGGATCCTCCAAGCTCAACACAAACCAGGAGAAATTGCACTTTGGTCTCTGGGCCATCACCAAGTCTCCTCTCGTACTGGGCTTGGATCTCGAAAAGATTTCCAACTCCACCCTGGACATCATCCGGAACAAGGGCTTGATTGACATCAACCAGGACTCTCTCGGCAAGGCGGCAACAACCTTTCGACCTCCCGGTGCGCCAGCACCAGTAAATGGCAAAATCTACCCGTATTGGGCTGGGCCGCTGTCGGATGGTGTGGTTGTTGGGCTTTGTGCTGGCACTTCGGCGGGAACCTACAGCGTCAACTTTAAGGATGTCCCTGGCTTGGGTGGCTCTGGATCGTATGAGTGGAGGGAGATGTATACTGGCCAGACTGGGAAAGGGACGAGTGCTTCGTTCAATATCGGCCTGCACGATATGCGCGTCATCAAGGTCATGAAGGTTTAGATGGAAACATGAAATGGCCTCAAAGATAGGCAGTTGGATGGCTGCAACCAAGGTTGATCGGGTCTTAGATAGGTAGGTAGTCTAGGGTATTTAAATACATATGCTTGGCAGGTCGTTAATCATGGTTTTGCTGGAGTGAGCCTGAGTCTTCATTCTTTCATCTGCCTTGGTAATCGCACTTTCACGACCCCTACTCAACACCCTTTGTTTGCTATCATTACCCTGAATGTGAACAAAGCTTTCTGAACAGATCAACTAGTATTCAAGTTTAATTAGTGTGTCTAAATGAGGTCCTTGCCCGCAAGTCAGGTAGGTAACCAGGCCTATAACATGCCCTCAGTAACCACTCGTCATCACGATGACACTACCTTACTCTTCAACCCAACAACGGCCTCCTCTCCTCCTCCTCACCAACAACCCCATCCTCATACCCCTCCCTATCTGTCTCCAAGAAGATCACCCGCCACAGACTCCCCCCCGTCAACGCCACATCCAGATGCCTCAGCGCCAGCGCAAGCAACACCCCCTGCCCAATCGCAAAAACAGCATAATCATACACGACAAACCCAACAACCTGAAACCAAAAGACAAACACCCTCCAGTTCAACAAATTCCCATCCGGGATCTTGTCCCACTGAAACACCAGCCGCCCCGACCAAGTCACCGAAAGCACAGCAAACAAGACAGCCTGCACCGCCAGCCCGAGCAAGCTCAGCGCACTGTCTTCATGTCTGTGGCGGATGATCTCGTGGGCTTGGGCCCCTATGGCGAAGAAGCAAAGGAAGAAGACACCGGGGTTGATGAACATCATGTGTATCGCTGAGAAGAAACCCAGAGCCCATTTGTGGTAGGGGTCGGTGGTATCGGCGAAGACGGCGTCGAGGAAGAGGGGGATGAGGGAGATGGTGAGGAAGGTGATGTATATTAACATGATTTTCGATGTGTCTCTGGTGGTTGGGGAGTAAATGATCGTTAGAAGTAGTCTGTGTGGAAGTGTCAACTTTGTTCTCTCGGTCGTTCCCACCGAAGAGGGACTAACATTATGATCCAGGCAATCCACACAGCCGTGAAGTGAGCGAGGTTGAGGAGATCACCTAGGTTGGGGGGATCGTGTACGAACGAGTCAGATCCCTCGCAGCGGTTGTTGACTAGGTGGAAGAAGGAGATTGTGAAGAACTCGGTGGCGATGATGAGGTTGAAGAGGACGTAGTAGAGGGAGATGCCTGTACTATCGCGGCGATAATAAATGCGGGCGATTTGTGGCTCGAAAGATAGAAGTGTTAGGATGAGAAAGAGGCTGTTTTTCTCGCCCAAAGGCTTCAAGGTCAGAATATGTGGGGACTGTAGTATGTCATGGGAGTGAAGGGTGTCGATAGATGCTGGTAAGGTTGACTTACCCTCGAAGCCAGTCTGGGACTTCCATGGCTGGTGGAGAAGGCAGAGACCACCAAAATAGCGAGGATTCTGTGGCTTCGCTCGTTTCTCTTCTTTGATGTCTAGGTACTTATTTGGAGCTAAACAAGAGCCGTATCAAATTAAGGGGTCGGTAATGAGAGGACGAGGGCTTTTTATGATGTTTTGTTAAGGGGTTTTGAAAAAAGAAAAAGAACGGAAAGGCTTTTTTGCTAAGCTCGCGGTGGTGCTGTGTGAAGTTTGGCGCATACGCAGGTCTGTAGGAAAGGAGCTCGGACGGTGTCTCCTCTGAGCAGATGTGAGGGTGAAAAGGGAATGGTGCGATCAACACTAAAACCGGGCACTCACAAGCAAACCGAGGATGGTCCAACTTACTTATGCTACCAATTCTGTGGGTGGCAACGGCTATTCACCATCTGAATTCGTTGTTTGCTAAGGTTCTGAAACCCAACTGTTTTGACGGGCCTGAGGTAGAGAGCTGAAGGTGGCGCGGGGTGAATCTGGGCCTGTAGCACATGACATCGCATCCAACTTCGGACTAAGTAAGGTAACAAGAGCTCAGATTTATGATCCACCCAATAAAATATTTGCCGATATGTCTTTAGTCCAGAGTTTACTCACCATACACGGAAGAAGGACAGAGCAAATACCGGTGGCTTACCTACCCAGGTACTATTTGCACGGATCAATGTATCGGGCTTGTCTTCATTGTATGGCTCACGATTTGAAAGACTTCATTCACATCAAGGATAGCCTCGAATGTCCTGCCTCGGACCCCAACAGATGTGGCGTCTCGGATACATGTGGCCAAGCTCAGCTGGGCCTTGCATCCCATATCTCGCTCCTCTTCGGCTTTGATGAAGGCTGAGGTATGAAGACCGTAGTTTGATATTCGAATTGAAGATGGGATTTGCAATTGCCGTCAATGCGAATAATGTTTGTGACTGGATGGAGATAGAGCTTTGAACAATTGTCACAATGGTCTGACAGACTTGAGTTGTATAAAGACATCGGCAACATGGAACTTCTTGGACATCATGCCCTGCTTCGTTCTCACTCTCGAATCCAACACACACATCATTATTCCGCACCAGATACTCGGCACCATGAAGGTTGCCTTCAAGTTGGCTTTAGCTGCCCTGGTGGCAGCAGGCTGTCTTGCGCAAGAAAACAATGCTGGAAAACCCACGGGACCTGTCGAAGGAATCCCAGACGATCTGAAGGATCCCAAAGGCCCTACCGACGGAATCACCCCGGACATGAAGGTAGGTGATCATACAGATTTCAGATTTCAGCTACTTTCATGAGGTTATCACCATCGACTATGTGACAAATATCTAACTGGACCCTCCCCCTACAGGCTGCTATTGTACACTTTGAGGGCGACACCTGTGATGACAAGAAGAAAAAAGACATCATGGATGAAATGCAACATGCCGTGAACATGGCCCTCCGCGCCCAAGAGTTTCTTACCGAGGGAAACTATTACGATCACTTCTTCGCCAAAGGACTCAGGGAAAAAGAGGGCTTCGAAGACGATATACGTGAAACCTATCGCCGCATAGCAGACTGTAAGTCAACCCTGGTTCCTAGCCTCTTATTCTCCATGTGCTCAATGATCTGACATCATACAACTGCAGTGCTTTCAGGAACCTCTTCAAGCTACACCTTCAAAGTCAACTGCGATAACAACAGCCCGGCCTGCGCACCGAAGAAGAATTGGTGGGCAGCCATGAACGACAAGGAGAAGAGGATGACATTTTGCGACAAGTTCTTTGACACCAATGACATTGGTGAGACACAGCCCGCGCTGGACAACAACTGCGACTCCCTGAAGGATCTTCGGCAAGCCCAACGAACAAGATCTTCTATCATTGTCCACGAGGCCTCCCATACAAGATACGCGATGCGTGATAACGACCCGTAAGTTAGCTATATGTGCGTTAGTGTTTGCACCGTTATGAATACTAACTGTCTCCTAAACAGGGCTGTGGATGTTGCCTACGGTTACACTGGGTGTACCAGCCTTCCTCTTGGGTTATTCGACCGCGCATGCGCACCGTATGGTGGGCTGAAAAAGAAAAAGGATGGCAGCTTTACCACTCCAATCTGCGGGAACAATGCCGGTGGCGAAGGGTTCTGCAATGGCGATATGAGCGCTCAGAATGCAGACACCTACTCCCATGTTGCGGCCGGGGTGTTCTTCTCAAAGGAGTGCAACCGAGAAATCCCACATCCTACCAATAATGCAGGGAGCAGCGGTGGTCAACCAGGTAACACGGCGGGTGTTCCTGGTAAAGGCGGTACAATCGGTGTTCCTCCAAAGCCCGCGACTAGAAGACATCCCCGCCAAAGACCACGTCTGAACGCCGACACATATCAGCATAACACACCTGCAGACTCTGGGCTGAATCAACCTCGTCATCCACTCCGGTCCAGGGATGAATCATGCCCCTTTGTCACCGACGCCATCGTCTGGGACGGCAGTCCAGAGGAAATCGACGCTACCGGCGTCATTGGCTTCGCTCACTTTGGCGACTCCTACGCCTCAGGCATGGGCACCGGAACAACCTCGACCGACAAGTGCCGGGTCGGATCCAACAACTACGGTGATCTCCTCAACAAGTTCTTTGACAACAAGGAAATAGTGTACGACCGCCGCTCCTGCTCCGGAGACACAACCGAAGGCCTGTACAAGAAGATCGAAGAGTGGGATCAAAAGAAAGCCGACGAAACCAACGTCATCACGCTCACCATCGGTGGCAACGACTTGGGTTTCTCTGACCTCGTCTGGTACTGCGTCATCACGCCCAACACAGCTCACTGGGGGAGTACAAACCGCAAAAACTGCGAGGAAGCGGAAAAGAAGGCCCGCGCACACATGGATGACAGTTCACCCAACGGCCTGCGCGCCCGGCTGAAGGATGCCTACCTGCGCGCTCTCGGGCGGACCAAGCGCAAGGACACACAGCTCTACGTGGCAGGCTACCCGACCTTTTTCAACGAGGAGACAGACGACTGCGACGGCGCGAGCTTCCACTACTGGTTTGGTGAAAACAGACCTCCCTCCGACTGGCCCGCCAATCGAATCGTCTACCTGACCAAGAGTTTGAGAAAGGAGCTCGACGATCTCGTCAGGCAGCTTAACGAGGTCATCCAGTTCGCCGTGAACGACGCCAACACGGAAGGTGGCCAAGTCCATTATGTCGACGTCGACCAACGCTGGATAGAGGGGGGACATCGCTGGTGCGAGCCGGGCGTCAAGGATCCTGATTCTAACCGCGCCGATACTTGGTTCTTTTTGAGTGGCTGGAAGGATATCGAGCCCAACAACGCCGCCGGGGTTGATGGTGGAGAGGTGGAAAAGGATGAAACGCAGATGCTCATTGAAAGTGGCGAGATCAAGCTGCCCAGTGAGGAGACGTGCAACTCTACCGCTAGTGAGGGTCGCGATCCGTACGAGTCATACCTGTGCTACGTGGCGGAGTTGGTAAGGGAGGAGCCGGAGGGAGAGGAGGCCAAAAGAGTGAACGGCGCAAACGATTTCATTTCTGGCAAGGATGGAGCCAACATCCAGGATGTGTCTTGGTACGCGCCTACCAGGCAGATCAAGACTTTCCACCCCAGGACCGTGGGCATGTTTGCGTACCGCGATGCTATTCTGGAGAAATTGGAAATCAATGGACAGCTGTAGTTGCCCTGGCGGCACACGCTACTTGTCTGGGTCTGACCCCTTTAAACGGACTGGCTGGCCTGTCGTCAAGTTGAGACTCCTTTGGCTTTTTGATTTACTATAGAACAAATGACAATAATTAATAGTAGTAATTCCACTGACGCTTTCTCTTCTTCATCTTTTTTAACAAATCTCAAAAGAGGGGTAGGTAGCTACCCCGCCATCACCAGGTATTTCTCCTCCTCATCCAAGAAGGTTTCCACACCGGAATGAACAGATACTGATATTTCCCCAACCACGGCACGTCCTCATCATCCCTCTGCGACATCCTATTCGTGAGGAAGGGATAAGCCCATTTCCCATGCTTATTTCTCCACGGCTTGTCCACATACAACGGATATTCCCAAATGCAATATCTATCCCCTATCTTTGTGCCCCATCCATCCCTGTCGAAAGTTCGAGATCCGTATCGCCAGGGAATACTCCGCCACAACTCCCCATCAGGATCCAGGCACTGATCATCTGTAACGTCCATTGAATTCTTGACGGTGGCTACCACTCCTTCGACTCTCTGGATCAGGTGAAGAACGACGTCGCGTAGTCTTCTCGGTCATCGTGCGACCCAAAAGGGTCGAGATTTTTGGCAGCGGGTATGATGTGGTCGAGGTAGGTGACGAGTTGGACTCTGGATCCTTCTTCTTTTTTTCGTTTCTTTTTTCGGGTGGAGAGTATTTCCAGTGTTCGACTGTGCCAGTGCTGTTAGAATGGTTGTCCTGATGCCACCAACAGAATGCTTTTTCGATTTGCTAGACTCACTTGTTCTTGGGTAGTAAAGCAAGTTTGTCTTCCTCAGTGCAAAGCCGTGAACCTCGCAGTAATAGGTCAGGGACCGTCTGGCTCGCCTGTTGAGCCTTCTGGTACATCTCAGGGCATATCTTTCGTAAATTGCTTCTGGACTGCCGTTGTCTTTGCGTTCTAAATAGTTTTTACCTAGCTTCTAGAGAGCTATCATTCTGGTTAGTGTTGGTTGGTCATTATCATCCTGTTCCGCAACCTCATATGTACCTTTGCTAGCTGATGATTAGTTCGTGGCTTGAGGCTGTGTTGCTGTGACATGAGTGTCAAGTACGAGGACGAGTATTAGGTGCCTGGAAAGAGAACCGCAAAATAGCTATTAAAGGATATGGTTGCATGGAATCTAAAGAACGTAGAGGATGAAGGCAGGGGTCGTAGTGATACATAAGAGACATGCAGCCTCCCGAAGGGCCTCAAAAGACCTCCTGAGTGCGTTTAGCCTTTGTTCCTATATAGAAAATGGTCACACCTTACCTTGAAAACACGAATGGCCCCAGTGAAGCATGATCCAAACCTACAAACGTAAACACTAACCTGCCACTGTGATCACTCAGTTGATTAGTTGCAATCGGTGATAACACAACTGCTGCCCCTCTTTGTGGTAATCCCGACCGAGTGAGAAGACACCGCCGATCGGGTCATTGTCAAACATGGTCCAAATGCGAAGTTTGGATGCAAATCGGACTGGTCTGAGGTGCCAATCGCTGGCCCTGACCTGGCTGTCAGTCTTGCACGCCGTATGAGTCTTCGGTCTTGGCTAGTGCGAGGCCCACATGAGGTCATGCACTATGCAATGGACAGGTGCATGCGGCCCGCGCTGCCTTATGGGGTTACGGGGGGCAAAAGAGGGGTGAGATAACGGTATGACAGGTCCTAAGAAAACGTTTAAGATGGGATCAAATCCCACTGTTTGGAAGTGAAAGACCCAGGTGAACAGCAAACCGCTGAGGTTCAATGCCCCTGGACCCGACAGCAGATGACTGACACTCCTGCCAGACAGCGCGGCACACGACTGATATTTATTCCAACGAAATGGCCAGCCCTCAGGAATTGAGCAGCGCGGAGGAAGACAATCTCCTTGACCTCCCCTCACCTGAAATCTTCTCCGAAACCCCCACCCATCAATCAAACAGCCCACTCACCATCGCAGACCTCAAGTAAACTCACCTTTTCCCAACAACCCTCAACAAGACCACATCACTAACCCTCTCTCTTGTCAGCCCAGGAACCCCCCTCCTCTCCGTCCAACTCTCCGCACCCCAAACCACTCCCCTCAAAACCAAGTTCGCCATCACCCTAAAAATCACCTACACCGGCCTCCTCCTCAACCCGGACAAAACCACAACCCCAACCACCCGCCCCATCACCTTCCGCCCCTGGACATTAATAGCCTGGCACCAAACCGAGCCACAGCGCGAAGGGTTCTGGCTCTACCGCCACCGCCCAATCAACAACAACAACAACCACGATAACCCATGGGAGTTCACCGAAATGGACGACGGCACAATCTGCACCTTTGCCATCTACGATGACCCCGACAAAGAGGTCCCCGTCTCCAAAGGCAACCACTTCACAAACTCCTTCATCAGCCTCCGCCCCGGCGAAACCTGGACCTGGGAGAAGACACTTCAGCAGGAATACTGGAGCTTGCTACCAGATGACGCAGTCCCGGCCGACAGATTCAGGTTTTGTTTCAAGGGCGCCTATGTCGACTGGTGGGACTGGGGGGATCTGGAGGAGCACAAGCAGGCTGGGACGACGGTCTTGCTGCCGTGCTTTGAGGCGGCGAGGTCGATTGAAAGGGAGACGGACAAGAAGATGCCTGCTTTGGTTGTTCCTGGGGCGGAGGAGGGGGTTGAGTTTGTTATCGTCGATGGTTCTACATAGGAGGGTTCTGGGGGTCTGACTTCAGAGATTAGTGAAGGCATGGAAAGCCCCGTCAAGAGAATATGATGATGAACATTTCCACCTCGTATATCTCGGCGATCCCAGAACAGAACTCTCAAACTTGCACCCAACAATTTGAATTTTGGGTCAGTTGAACGAGTGCACAGCGGGGCGCATGAAAACGCCTTGGTCGGTTGTTGAGGACCCAAGGTTATTGTTGGTCAGTTGGTCGGGTTGAAGCCTCGGTGAGCAGTTGCCTGTTCCCATCGCCCAATTTGCAAGAGGAAACCACCGTACGATTCCTTCATTGAAATCATCATCGATTTGACTCCACCGATAATACCTACACAAATACCGGTATCGTGATGTCACGAAGATTAGGCAAAGCTCTCACATCTCCATTTCGCTCCCCGCACGGGGGCAAGAGTAAACAAGCGCCAGACATAATCACCGAGCACACATACGCCAGTGAACGCAACAGCGAAGAAGTCAGCCAGGAGCAGGACACCATGGACGAGGAACCTGCCGAAGCCAGCAGCAGCTCATCCCAAACTGGACACCTCTGTCGCCAATGCCGAGATCTCAACATTACCGCCTCCAAATTCCGACCCAACCCATCCGATGATGACCCGCTGTTGCCCGGCATCCTCGGACACGACTTTGACCCGGCCACCTAGGTCAACAGGACCTCGGGTACCTCGACGAGATATATCGTCGGCGCAACGACTGCTCTCTATGTCGTCTCATATTTGATGCCACCTACCGTGGTGGCCACCGCATTGGTCTCGATGGCTTTGTTGGAGGATGGGAAGGAGGGGAAGCCCTAGTGCCCTGTCAACTGCGATGGGTGTTGGACGGTAGAACTCTCGGTACTCTAGGTCAGCTTGCCTCGTCGAACCGCCCGCTGACACGACTACTCGTCATCTCCACCCCTGACAATACCTTTCCGACCTTTCCCGTTCTGCCACTAGGCACTCCGGGTACTGAGGGGGACAGTCCAATGTTCACCGGACGGCAGATCCCACCCACCACTTAAAAAAGACACCGACAGGCCCACCGTCCAGACTCGAAGTCCCGTGCCGCTGTGTTTGCACTTGTGGACGTATACAGCCCACTTCCAACTCTCCCGGCGCAACATGTCAACATCGACCTTTCAGTCCAAGCTCAGTCACGGCCTGCATCGTTCTGGTGTTCTAGACGCTCGAGGTGACTGGTGTGGAACAATGATTCTTGAAGAAGACTGGTTCTCCCAGGTGGGGCGGTGCTCGAGTTCGCTTCTATCTCGGAAGCGCAAGAGTTTTCGATGGAGGAGCTCGACACGTGGAACTACTATGTCGATCTATCAGGATGCTTTCCAGCACGCCTCGTTCCCGCCCGGGTTAAAGAAACTGCACTCGGTTGAAGTGCCGGGGGATCTGTAGGTTGGTGTTGGTGCTTGGCCGTCAACAGTCAACATAAGTTACCATTGACTGCTTCCACACAGATGTCAGGGATAATATGACCTTTGGAAAGGGCGGAAAAGTTTCGGTTTTAGCGGGTGTCGCAGCTGCTCATGAGGGACATGACTATGGATTTGTCGGGAAAAGGTTGGATGCTAAATAACAGCGCAAGAGCGACGCGGGCTATGCACTGATACACCTCGGGAGGCACCGAGACATCCCATTCACAGGCCGTTTCAAATGGCAGGTTTTTCTGCCAGGTGTGCACGCTCCCCCTTGCCGTCCTGTCTGCTCCAAGTGCTGTGACCAAGCAGCTGATATTTCCCATGTCTCAACACCATCAAACCTCAAGGATGACATTTCGCCATGTAGCATGGCAGTCATATTCCAGCTTCGATGTCATTCACCCACTGGAAAATGGAGCCTTGGAAAGTAAGGAAGTCTCCAACGCGGTGTATATGAGGGGCATTCACCACCCTCAAATCTCCATTCTAGACACCATAACATTCTCCAGGTAAAAGCACTAGCACAGTTTTCCAAATCCAGCTCTTTCCTCTGTCCTCAAACGACGCCATTTGGAAACACTCCGAAGAAGAAGTGCAAGGTTCTGTTAAAGGTTCTGTCAAAGCCTCCCTGCTATCCACACACGCTTCTGTAGCGTATCGTTAAAGGTCCATCACCTATCTTTCAGGGCTCTACCCCAAGTACGCACAGTAATCGCTATTATTCATTCACGACATGGTAGAGTTCGCGAGGCTAATCATCTACAACTTACTCCCTCCGTGTTGCTGCTTCTTCGCCAACGCTCTCAAATCCTTCCTCAAAATCTTCCCTGACGGACTCTTGGGAACAGCCGCCAAAAACACAACCCCTCCCCTCAACTTCTTATGACTAGAAACCTGCTTCGCAACCCACTCCTGTATCTCCTGCCCCGTAATCCCCTTTTGATCCCCCACAACCACATATGCCCTCGGCACCTCGGTCCCCTCCTTCTCATCATCCACCCCAATCACGGCCGCGTCCAAAATCTTGGGGTGGCTGATCAGCAGCGCCTCCAGCTCCGCAGGCGCGACTTGATTGCCCTTGTATTTGATGAGTTCCTATCGCTTGTCAGCACTCCATCCCACTTAATCTTCCATGATCTTCAGTGAAACAAACCTTCTTCCTATCCACCACATAGAACAAACCTCCCCTATAAACAGCCACATCCCCCGTCCTAAACCACCTCTCCCTCCCCACCCCCCCATCCGCAAACCCCTCCCTATTGGCCTCCTCATTCTCCCAATACCCCTTCGTAATCATCGGCCCCCTAACCCAAATCTCCCCCTCCTTTCCCACCTCCACATCCCGCCCCTCATCATCCACAATCCTCGCCTCTATCCCCGCAACCAAAGCAGAAACACTCCCACTCTCGTCATCCTCAAACTCGCTCCCCATATTCAAAACAGTAACACTCCCCGTCGTCTCCGACAAACCCCAAGTCTGCACCAACCTCCCCTTCCCCAACCTGCCCCCTCCCAACTTTTTCTTCGCCGCGATTTGCAGCTCCCTCCCCATCGGCGCCGCCCCGGAAACAGCCTGCTCCACCGTGGCAAGCTGATCTGTCACCATCGGCGACTTTGCAATCAGCAAGAAAACCGGGGGGACAGAAAAGAAGTGCGTGACTTGATACTTCTTCATGTAAGTCAAAAACAAGGGGAAATCAAATCCCCTCATCCAGTACACCGTTCCCCCTAGGTAGAAAGGGTTGACGAAATAGCCTTGAATTCCCGCAATGTGCGCGGCAGGGAGGTGGGCAACTGTTCGGTACACCAGCGGCAAGTTCAAGCGGGTGTAAAAATCTCGGTTGGGGGAGAGGACCAGTGCTGCCTCGGCGACCATGTTGGTGTGGGATAGTTTACACGCTTTCGGGGGGCCGGTGGTGCCTGAAGAAAAAAGGAGGCAAATTATTGAGCTGTCGAGGACATGACGGGAGGTGATTTTAGCCCAGGAGAGGGAGCCAGATGAGGTGAGGGGGGTGGAAGAGTTGGTTGGGGTCAAGACGAGAGAGCCGCCGGGGAGGGAGGAGTAAACCACCACGTTGCGGGAGTCAAGACCGGTGAGTTTAGCAGCGGCTACGGCGGTGGCTTCGGTGTCGGCGTTGCAGAGGATGACTTTGACGCCTACTTGGCTGACCTGGGCGGCGAGTTCCTTGGGGGTTGAGCCGGGGTTGGAGGCGGAGAAGACGCCCCGGCGGCGATGGTGGAATAGAACAGAGAGGGGAGGAGGTAGTGTCCCGTGGAGATGGCGAGGACGACATCTTTGTTGGGGCCGTTGGCACCGATGCCGTACTCGTTTCGAAAGATGGAGGCTGTTGACTTGACGAGGGTGCGTAGCTGAGATTTAGTTATCTGGTTGTTGTCTGGATCTGCTGCGTCGGCGTGGAGGATGGAAGTTTTCTCGGCCAGGGTGTGGGGTGAATCTGTATCACTGTTAGCCTGTGTAGGTCGTATCAAGGCGGGTGGGCAAACCAAAGAGAAACGTCAAGAGGTCAAGCTCAGGGTGCACCGCGTTAGTGGCAGCTTTGTAGACGGTTCCATCCCTGGTTTTCTCGACGATGCTACCCATTGTGATGTTTGATTGATGGTGGGAAGCTGTACAGATTGATCTGTTCAAGAGGGAGAGAGCATCTACGTCCGAGACGTCAATATATCCGAGAAGCGGGGCAGGTGCCAAATCGACACTATTCCCAGTTGGATTGCATCTTGCAGCCACAAAATCTGGGGTAACAGGGGAATCAGCGGGACGAGCCTCGGTTCATTGTCGGGGTCAGTCAAAGCTGATGCGGGGGATCGACGAGCCGGCTCCAAGCTTTGACAACTTGGGGAAGTGACGACCTTGGCAGCTGAAGATATGGTCCTGGTTAAATTTCAGGAACGTTTTGATGCTTCACGAGGTTACTGGGCCTGTTGATAATGTTGTTGAGCTATTGATGTTGGCATGTTACCTAGGTAGTTAGAAGAAGTAGACCAGACGCGAACACTTGTCGAAAATACAGACAAGCCAGAAGCCAAACTGGCCGGGCAGCCGAGAAAAACAGATCTCGGTGTTTACAACCCCTACGTCGGGCATCGCAACAAAGGTTGGACAACAGTATGATTTCTAACAGTGCCAGCCACAGTGCCACAAAGAACCCTGGTGACTGAAGCGTCGTTGAAGGAAAAAGCTTTGATTGCAAGACATTGGCTCCCCTGAACTTCAGTCACAGATATAATATCATGCAGCTCTCGGGCAGCCTGTCGTGTACCATGATTATTGTTGCCTATTCTGGAAAGCCATCCGCTTCAGAAATGTCTTTGATACGAGACTCATTGTTGTACCACACCGACGGGAGAAGCCTTGGCGTTGTTCCAGACCACATCCACAGCTGTCAATCTCTTTATGTCTTTGTTTTTAGATTTCGTTCTGTTGTCCCGACCTCCGAGACCGGGCTGAAGAATGCTGTTGTAGTATTTCGCACATCATGTCCAATCTGAGGCATCGTCTCTCGATTGCAGACACCTCGTGTCAGTCGTCGTCGACAACGGTGATGATGCTAGCACTGGCAGGTCTCCAGCTAGCCTTCGCCCTTCTTGGGGTAGCGCTAACTCTGTCCACACAAGAAACCAAAAAGGGGTTGTTGTCTTTCCCTGTTATGCACAAACGGAGTCATCCCCTGAATCTCGGGAAAAGAGACAACATTGTGGCCTTAGGTAATGTCTCGACTTTAACATATTTGCTTACACGTAGGTATTCCGCAATGCCATTCATGTACCCATCAACTAACACACCCGATATCAGTCCAGATTGGTACTCCGCCACAACCTGTTGAGGTCGTCCTCGACACGGGGTCCTTCGAGCTTTGGGTTGACCCGACTTGCGCGACAGCAGCCACTGAGAGCCAGGAGGAAACGTGCAATGCTTCTGGAAGATATATTCCAGGCTTGTCCTCCACCTGTGTCAACAAGAACGTGACGCAACACAGCGGGTACGGAAAGGGGGGCGCGGAAATCGGCTATGCGGTTGATAATATCCTAGTCCCTGGCAGCAGTCAGTTCATATCCTTCCTAGCACTGAAGTTATCGTCAATCGATAAGCTCCACGCACAGGGGATAACGCAGTCGAAAGCATTCAGCATAGCCCTAGGAGGTCAATGTTCAGAGTCCGGTGGCGCCATCATCTTCGGTGGACTTGACACAAAAAAGTTCAGCGGCAAGTTGCACAAATTTGACAACATGCCACCTCAAATCGAAGGCAGCAAGGAGGGCCCGTGGCGATGCTGGGTACAAATGAAGTCAGTCGGAGTAACCACACCAGGCAGACTTGTCTCTACTTACGAGTATTCAACGATGCCCGCTCTTCTTGACACTGGTTCAACATGGAGCTACCTTCCCCAGCATCTATTCAACAGCTTGGAAGATGACTTTAATGCAACGCTTTCAGAAGATGGAAGCCTCGAAGTTCCCTGCTCGATGGTTGAGCAACCCGGCACTGTTGACTTCACGTTTGGAGATCTGACGATCCGAGTCCCATATTCGGAGTTCATCTCGCAGCTGGAGCCGGGGTATCGTGCGCTCGGCGTCTTGCCGAGAAAGGGATCGTATGATCGAGCGGTCCTTGGAGATTCGTTTCTGCGCTCGGCGTATGGTTAGTTTACACTCTCCTAATGTTATGGAATGTCGAGCCTAGACTTACATATTTCACTAGTCGTGTTTGACCAAACTAATCAGCACCTGTACATGGCTCACTACCGCGATTGTGGCACAAACGAGCAAACACTCTCTGGAGATGTTGGAGCTGCTCTTAATCTAACAGGACAGTGTCATTCCGGCCATCACCTTTTCGTATCCATCTCAATGTGCTGGTTCATCGCGCCGTCTGCTTTCGTCCTGTGGGTTTGCGCGCTGTTTTTGTAGCGTGGCGCGAGTCCATCGCATACATGACTAGAGTGGCATGCGGTTGTGGGAGGATTCGGGCATCGGATTCTCAAAATGATGCAGGAGAGAGAAATTGTAGAAGAAGTTGTTACTTTCAGCGTCTGTACATATCTCGATAACAAAGAGTAATGAATGATTTGCAATCGATTCGCCAGCTGTAATCATGGAAGAAGTCGAAATTTGGTTCAGGTTCGTACTCTTTGACCGGTGATCAGGATGAGTACAACCAACCGAAGAACGAAGAGCCCTAACACATCAAAGTACTGGCTACGTACACTACGCCATTAATTAGCGGTTCCTTTCGAGTTTACAAAGTTGATAGCCATCATGAACTGTTATCTGCATTCTCCTGTTTGTCCAGTGAACTAGCTATCTAACGTCGGATCACAGACACAGGCCCAGATCAAGGCTATCCACCCATCCATCGGTAGCCACCTCATGCTGCTGATGGTACACCTTCCCTGCCAGGGCATCTAACAACCAGTGTCGGCCGGAAGTAGGAATCTCACAGGGATCCATCCTATCCATTCGCCCAGGTGACCAGGCGTCTGCAGACGCCTCAGTTCTGTTGAGACTCCGTCTTTTAGAATAGGAAAGGGCAGGCAAGGGTCCTCGGTCAATGCCGCATGCCATGGAACTGGAAAGATGCCCGAGGATTCGACCCCACTGCCGACATGCAATGAACTGATCAAATCTCATTTCCGTTCAAGTGTTCTTCCTTTTCTCCTTTTCCAAACTCTTCTTCTCATTCTTGCTGTGGTCTCCCTGGACAGCGCAAACGTCCTGATCGCGTACAAGCGGGCAAACTCGACGACTGGCCGCTCCTCACCTCCCACACAACTCTTTGCCGCTATCTTAGCGGCTTCTCGCAACTGATGGCTACCGAGAAGCGATCGTTGACTTCAGTATGGTAGGATTGTGCCTGCCCACCAAATTGTGGCAATTAAGTCAACAGTGTCAACGCTGCAAATAGTGTCAACACCCTAGGGCCTATATTCTTCAAAAAGCTACAGCGGCCAGGCTACTGAACCGGCCACTAAGCTAGCCACTGTCAATTGGGCTAGTAGGTAGGCTAGTGGGTAAGCTAGTGGGTGAGCTAGTAGGTGAGCACTGGAAGGGAGCGCTAGAAAAGAACAAAGTTAGTGGAACGTAACGGGGATTGAATACAGGCCTGTTAAATAGTGAAAGACTTACTGGGTGGATGGAAGGGTCGGCTACTGGCCACTAAGCCAGTAGCTAATTGAACGAGCCTGGGGTAGGAAGAAGGAACCATATAGGGGCCGTGCAGCAGGTGCCCCCTATGGCTTTAGTGGCTATAAGTGGGCCTGGCCTGTTGACACACTGTTGACATCGTTGACACTGTTGAACAAGGTTGACACTACTTGACGGCTCAGATTCCCACTATGGTAACCCCCGCGGCTGCTTTACAACCTCCTTGCTAACCGCTAAACCAAGGCCGCTGTCTAGTACCTCCGGGAACGAGGTGTTGGTTCCTACCCCTTAAGCTTCCCTGAGGGAATCCTATTTATCACCTAAACCCTATCCGGCGCTACTATACTAGTCGAGTTCGTCTCCGACAACGTCACTTGCGCAGGTGCCATCGTCCTCGAGACGGCGCTAGCAGAAGAGCAGGATGCCGAACTAGTGGCATAGGTGCAAAGGGCGCCTACCGTCGTTGTTAACCTAGGTAGGTAGATTGTTTAAGTATACCCTAGAACGGGCGAGGCAATCCAACGCGTCCTCGCCAATTCTACCGTCCAAGTTCTATAGAAGATGGCCAGAAACCCCGACGTCATCGGCGACGCCTTCTCTCAGTCTTGCCTGGGCATCTGCGCTAGAGCCGGGTGCAGATCATGGACTGGCTGAGCGTCGATATGCTGCCGCTACTGCAGCTCGACGAGGTCGTCCCGTCGGTGCACTATAGCGGGTCGAGCAGCTACAATGAAGCTGTTGCCTATGTATTGCCTGGTATCCCCTGTTCTTTTCTCTCTGCTGACTCTGCTTGAACTGATTAGCGTCAGAGTGGCGTAATTAAGTTGTGTGTGGAGCAGGAAAAGTGGAGCGGGCACTGCAAGCCTTGTACCTAGTGCAACGCCAAGCAATGGAAGGATTCAGCCGCGTCATAGACTTGGAAATAGCTTCAGTATTCAATGGAACATCGGATGGATAAACGGAAGCTCAGGAGGGCTTGCCGTGGCTTGGGTGGAAGGAATGGGACTATTCATGTATAAATACGTGGCTTTCAGTGCTCTTGAAAGCTTTCTTTTGTTCATCAGAGCAATCAATTCATTCTAAGACTGAAGGGTTTTCCACCTCCACATTGTGATCCCCATCTGGGAAGACCACCATAACTTTGCGCAGCTTGTCGAGATTTGGGGTTGGGTATCTACGCGACACGAGGCACGGCGCCGGAATGGACAATTGCTGGCAGAGCCGGGCCCATTCTTTGTGTCGTGGAGCAGGGCGAGGAGAGCACGAGGTGGAGGCAAAAGGAGAAAGAGGTTGGCCCAGGAGAGACCGGGGAGATATGTAGCTGCTACTGAGTTGGCGAAGCTGGTTGAGGGCTGAAGGGGACCAAGGTAAGGGTTATACCCAGCAAAGGAGAGTGTATTGGGATATGGTGGAGCTGAGACGAGAAGGAGAGGGATTGTAGGGATAGGTAATCACTGATCCCTCTTAATTCCTGCCTGAACTGCCTATTTAGATCAAGATAACATGTAGCCCCGTGGCTTTCGAATTGTGATTGGCAAAGACGTAACAGGAGCGGCGTGCTCTTGCTCCAATATTTCTTCCGCTACAGGTAACAATAAATCCACGAGGCCACACACAGCCAAGGTCCCGCACCCCTATTACCCCTGAACACCAGCGTAAAGTATACTAATTGGACCAGCCTCTCAAGTCTCAATCAACTAGGCCACCGCAAACCCTTGCCCGTCGGTACCTGTACAAGGGTCATTTGACAAAGCTCTTATCCATGCGGACGCCGATCTGCTTGATAGCCTCGCCAATCTTCTTTTCATTCCTATAAGGGTTGGCGCCATTGATGGATGTGTCTGCATCTGAGTTTCCGGGGCCAGTTCCATAGTTTCCTTCACCTCGGAGTTGCCGCCTTCACTTGAAAGGGTTATCAAATCCCACGGGCCACGGAAGGTACCGTCCTGCAAGCATCCAGAGCAAAGGTGGTTTGAGGATCCATAACGGTGTACAAGTGGCAAAGTAAAAGAATATTGGTGTGATGAGTGATAAAGGATACGCGAAAAGGTGCGGGTTCCACATCGATCAGCTTTCAAACCCCAAAGGAGAATCTTGCACGCAGAGATTCCGCTCGCTGACTTAAAGTAAGCATGCAAGGTAACATGGCACAGCATTGATATGTACGTTGGCTGTGTAGCGAGAGCAGCAACTGCAGCCACTGGACCGTACGATAGGCTTAGATAGGCTGGACCTTCCAATTGGTAGTTGGCTCTGGGCTGCGCCTTCGCAAACCCACTCTCTTCCAATAGAATTCGACAGTTGGTGCCGGTGAAGGTCATGCAACGACCTTGTAGGGCGTAGAAGCGAGCTTTGGGGCCGTAGCCTGTGGCTACGCCGGCCTATCTCCGACCCATATAAGAATGCCCCAAGCTGACAGACCGGGCCCTGGGGCCCATGGTTAATAAGATGCTAGTAACCGTGTGAGATCCGCCCTTATTGGCGACATTACCGGAAATCCTTTCCAATATTCACCTCCGGCCCGATTCGTTGTTACGAGCAAGCAAATAATATCCCGAGCTTCAGCAATAACACATGGGCCATGGACGACGACAGCGATGGTCATACCAGGTGGCCTGCCTGCCACCGGTGTCACAGCTCCAAATTGCGCTGCAGGAGGGCTCCCAACCAGAGAGCATGCAACCGGTGCATCCGGGCCCAGGCCGAATGCTCCCCTCGTCCCTCGCGGCGGAGCCAGCAGGTTGCGAGTACGACGGCGAATCTAAACAATGCCGTTTATCCAACCCAAGGGACGGGCTCCACTCTGCCGGTCATGGATCTAAGCATGGGCGGCACTACCAGCTCAACAACACCGCCTGATAATATCGAGGCATTGGACTCGTCCAGTCTTGGCACTCTCGATACGCTCGACTCACGTATGCTCCAGGCCATGGACTCGTGGCCACGGCTGAGCGGATCTGACATTTCCTCCCCTATCAATCCGCTATTGTACCAAGATTTCTTCCATCTCACAGAGGTGCCGACGGCATTGGGCGGCAAGCCTCAGCTTGGTGGGCTCCAGAATGCCTCGGTGAGTGAAGCTGAGGGGAGCCAGGCGAGCCAAATGGACCGCACAATGAACGATAGCGAACAAGCACTTGGGCACCGACAAAGCCGGACAACCGGCCTGGATGCTCGGGTCCACGAGCTCGCCCGCCTCAACATTCTTCTGGTGAACCAGCAGGAAGCAACGGCAGAGTCCATCCACGCACTGCGGGAGTTGCCAGAAGCCCAGGCGTATGACGGCCGCCAGAGCGATTACTTGAACTTGGAGGAAACGCTGCGAATAGCGCTCCAGCTGCTTAGTATCCTCCGCCAGTCGGCGCCGGCCCATGATCCGGCGACGGCCCTGCTCTTCCTCTCGTGCTATTCGCGCCTGGCAGCCATCTTCCGCAACGTATTCGAGTGCCTCCAGCGGATTCTCGACGAGGGCAGCACCATCTCGCAGAGGCCGCTGTCGCGCCTGTTCCCCCGCGTGCAGCTGGGGTCAGTCTGTCTCGGCGACGGGAGTGAGCGGCTGCAGGCCGAGATGGTGCTCGATGCTTCCGAGCATGTCTTTACCGACATCTCGATGAAGATTGAACTAATATTCACCGAGAAGGACCCCACTTCTTCTGGGGGGCAGGAAGCAGAGTCTCAGTGGCCCACCTTTGGCATGTTGGATGAAGGTATTCGCAGTGTGCCCGCGGAGCGCTCGGTGGTGATGGGACTTGTAGACAAGCTTAGAA